GATGCATATACTTAAGCTCAAAAGTTTTGTCTTTATTCTACATCACAATCATCAGCTGATCAAATCCCAACTTTGTTGCAGCCCACAAAATAATGGGGACGACATAATAGAAAATTTTATTCATTGTGAGATGTACGTACTACTATCCTAGATACAATATATTTATGTACAAAGAAACATTCTTCACTCTTTTATACAAACCATTTTTTGCATATTAAACACATATTTTATTTCAGGCTTCTTCCTCCTTTAAATACTATATTATTTAATTAAAATTTTTGTAGAAATAAAAGCTCAACTAACAAAAGAAGAATTAAAGAACAAGAGGTTAATGGAAGCATTTTCTAAGAAAAGTCAGGAATTTCGTGAAGTGTGTTATCAGTTAACAGGATATAAAATAGACTTCCATTATACAAATCAATACAAAGTAACCAGTATGTACGCTGAATCAAGGGACGATTTCTTTATATTTCAGGTAAGATTTTACCTTAGTAGGATAAATGTAGGCAGTTTTCGTTTGCAGTTTGGGCCTTTAATGGAACACTTAAAGCTTCACTATGTTAATTATTCATGTGTCATGGTCTTGTACAATGTATGTAAGCGAACACTTAATGTTTGTGTATGGTAAATTTCTACCACGAAAACTAGATATGTGTGAAAAATTCCTGATATATGTTACTCAGACAGTGATATGAGATCCTGTATAAAAACACAATATATGTTTATTGTCAGAAAAATATACATTTTATTTTTATGAAAATTTTGAGCAAGAGGAAAAGTGAGGCATATAGAGGTTTTCTTCATTGTGTAGTGAATACAAATCAATTTGATAATTTCCTACAATTTACTTATATTGCTTTTATCTGTCATATACAGGTAGTAGATATATTGTTTGTACAAAATATCTTGATATGGTTGATAGCTGGATAATCACATTATTGTTTTGGATTAATAAGCAGATCACAGAAGATATATTGCTATGTTACTATTAACAGTTTTATATCATTATTGAATTTTAAAAATTAAAGTTTAACAAAGAAATCCTACTTGTTATATTCCAAATGGGCTTAGACTTATAGTTGTGCTCACAATATCATTATTAAATTTTATAACTAGCTCTAATTTCAATCACAACTTTTTCAGCAAGGTGAGAAAAATGATATGCAGCTATTATCTACAGATTTTACAGAGAATTTAGAAGAAAGCATAGACTTATATCTGTCTAAACACAAATCTATACCAGCATTCTTAAGTAGTGTTACCTTAGACTTGTTTAAAACACAGACTTTTAAAGTTTAACAAAGAAATCCTACCTGTGATATACCAAATGTGTTCAAACTTATATTTGTGCTCATAATATCAGTTTATAGACAGAATAGCTACAAATGAAATGGCACAAAATACAGACAGAAACGTTTAGAAGAATTTGGAGAAGTACTTTGTCATCGTATATGATGGCAAATTTTAAAAAATTTCTTTCAGGGATTTCAGCAGCTAGTGTTAATCATGAAATAAATTGCATTGACATATATATATATATATATTGTAAAAGTTGTTAACTATTATAAAATGGAATCATTGGTGGAAATAAATGAATTTTCATGTACAAGTGTAATGTTTTTTTGCTATAAAAAATCGGACACTTGCTGGTATTTCTTCAGTATTCGATATTTCATATTTTTTTATAATGATAAAATGCTTGGACCATATAAACTTTGGCTTTATGCAGGTGCTGACCTTATAAAACCTTGTTTGTGACATTGGTATTGTGTTTATGTAGAGTTTGATCTATGAGGTCATGAAAAATTGCTCAAGAAAAAAAAGTTCACAGATGTTTTAAGTTCTCTTTCAGTTCATAATTGTTTTTTTTTTTTCCCAAAACTTTTCCTTTCGAACAGTTTTATGCCTTGCAGTATAAAGAGAACTTAATAAAATGAGGAGATGTGGTATGCTTGCCAATGAGTCAACTATCCTCCAGAGTCCAAAAAATATAGAAGCTAGCAACTATATGTCATGTAGCCTTCAACAATGAGCATTTATGATGACTTGATAAATAGAAGAAGTTGGACATGTTAAGCTAAGAGTACCCCCACTCATATTTCAAAGTATTGGAAAACATGAAGTATGTGGGACATATCCTAATACTGCTAAACAATTTACTCTTTACTGTTAAGCTTCTGACCAAATATGATAAAATTCTGTTTGGTAAGTACTAACAAAAATGTGAAGAAAATATTTAATTTCATTCCATATTTAGAAAAAACTCAAAGTATTGGCAAACAGGAAGTAGGTAACTAACAGATCCAAAAAGTGGTCACACTGCCAAGCTGCTGACCAAATATGAAGTGATTCTGTTCTGTGGTACCTGAGAAAAGTGTCAAAAATTTTGTATTAAATGGACAGACCAACAGATTAGGTGATTGCAATATAGCCCAACTATTGGAGTAGTTGTATAGTTTTCAGTAAATGTTTGAACATTACCGGTAGACCCACATTAAAAAAAACATTATTATTTACCATGTTCATTTTGTAATGTAAATTGTCATGGAATATATCATCACTATACAACACAACCTTTCAAGCCAATTCAATCTGTACTTTATCAATACTGTTTACTAAATCTAATGGTTACTGAATTATATTCATGTATACAAGGGCATCTTTTGTCTAGTTTCTTGTGCTTGTTCATTTATTAATTTTCTTTTGAGGGGGGATTTTATTTGTCCAGGCCATATAAACTTCCTGGTAATTATCCTTTGACCTGGCCATTTGATATTTGACATGATGGTTTGTCATCTGAAGACAATGTGTCACTTTCAAATGCAGATGAAATCTGACCTTGACCTCAAGGTAAAACAATTGATTTTTTGGGACATTTTAGTTTTTGGCCATAATTTTCATTTCTATTGACATTAGCTTTTGATATTTGTCATGTGGAGATCTTCTGGTTCTTTTTGTTGTTATACATTCTTGTTAATGCCTTAACTTTTATTTTTTTACATAGACTAATGGTATTTAGGTTAGAGATTTATTAAGACCATAAGACCATGTGTAGTTTAATGTGGACAACTCTACAATTTGTAGATTCCTTTAAAAGAATGAATGATTGGAAAAATAAAAGAAAAATGTGTCTGAGGACACGAATGCCCCTGCTCAAGCTCTTCAATTTTTCAAGTTAAAAAGGTGCATAACTCTAAACTGTTAATGACATACTTCCAAAATTGAAAGTCTGTCTGCATGTTGTAGTTCTTAGCATTGTATACAAGTTTTATAAAATTTGGATGAGGCAAACTTAAGTTAGAGTGCAGAAATGAAACAAATTGCAATTTTCCAATTTATAAAGGGGCATAACTCTAGAACGGTAAGTTACTCACTGCCTAAATTCGAACTCAGTCTGTAAGTTTTGGTTCTGTGCATTGTATATGAGGTTAATAAAATTTGGATGAGGAAAACATAAGTTAGAGTGCGGAAACAAAAATAGGACTGAAAGAAGGACTGTCAAGGGCAACATTTAATGCCCCTGTAGGGTAGGGGCATAAAAATAAATTGCTGCAAAGTTTTAATATTGAGTAACTGCTCTATCACAAAACACCAACAGAAATGTCTTTGTTGTGCCTTTCTGGTATCAGACCTATAGATGAAAAGGAGATGTATGATTTAGTCCACTAAATTAGTCCCTCATATTGAAAATACATTCCAAATATTAAACAGGAAGATCAAATGATGAATTTTGGGCACATTATCATGCCTACACCCAAACCATATAAATCCTTTTTTGCCAAGCATTTCAAGTGCACTTTAGGGTTTGTCTCTGGGTGTCATGCCTAATCCCCTTTTAATCATAAATTGATAGTTGTATCAGAAACTGTTCTGATTCCTAACCCCTAAACCATATGTTCCTAATTTTAATGATAACAAGCATTCTGAGAGTATTGCATGGCAATACATAGTCCCCTATGTTTAAAAATTCATTGTACTGGAACAAAATGCTTACTTGATCTATAACTTGTCATGGTGTAAACTATATACCAATTATCAAATCAATATCTTCAAGCATGACGAAAAAAAGTGTGGAAAACTGATAATTTTAGTGAATTATCTAAGTCCAAGGACCATAACTCTGCACAAAATCATCAGACCGGAACAAAATTCGAACTTGATCTGTAACTTGTCATGATAAAACAATACACCAAATATCAAATCAATATCTTCAAGCACGAAGAAAAAAACTGTGGAAAACTGATTTGCCGGACTGACGGATGGACAGACAGATAGACAGACGGTCAGAGTGCAAACCTAAAGTCCCCTTCGACTTCGTCGGTAGGGGACTACTAAAAACTTTAAGAGCACCATAGGTTTTCTCCCTGGGGGTTATATCTGGTCCCTTAGACCATCAATGTTAAACATATTGAAAACTATATATATCTCTGGAGTCCTTCCCTTAATATTCTTTTTATTGAAATAAAAAATCTTTAAAGAGTACCTTAAAGTTTTGCCCATGAAGGGGTTATGACATTTCCCCTGACATCATAAATTGTTAAAATTAAAACTGCTCAGATTCCAACCTTCAAACTATATGAATTTCCAAGTGCACCATTGGTTTTGTTCAAATGGGTCATGCATTGACCCCTCATTTTATAAATTTAAAAATATAAATACATGTATATTGAAAACTGTGTTCAGATCCCTAAACCTTATACATTTACCACAAGTGATGGCCTTTCTATTACCTGAGTGACTTCTATGGATAAAGTGGACACATACATTATATTCCACTAAAATAGTTCCTACTAGTTTAAGGATTTATCTATACAGTAAAGTTTTTCCCAACTATTACCATGATCTCTGTACCAACAGCTTAGAAAGTCCTTTCATAACTGTTTACATGTGTAGTTCTTTATGATTGTGGGCATCAGCAATAGAAAAATGAATAAATAGAAGTATAGCTATATCACTCCAAACGCTCTGTGGCAGTAATTTTTCAGTAAATAAAAACTGAATTGCAAGAAATATTTTAATGACAAACACAACAACAGGTGGGATATAACAGTTTGTAGAGGAGTATAAAGAATTAAATAATAATTCCTGCAGTTTCAATTAAACAAATTTTCTCATTTTTTTTTGTTCAAATGTTGAAAACTTTGACATATCACAAAATTAAAAAGTGTACACTTAACTTATAAAAAAAAAAAGATTGTATACATTGGATTTGAATAAAATTCTTATCACCTGCATTTTGTTCATTTGTAGTGAACTTTGACATAAATTGTGATAGAGATTTATTATAAATTTTGAAGAAAAAAAAATATATTAACTATGAAAATTTCTCTGAAAGTTTACTTGAAACTGCAGGAAGTATAATGAAAAAAGTACAAATACAAGTAAAAAGTCATAATTGTCAGTACATATATCAAAATATAAGGTGGGTAATGTTGACCAGTACAGAATTCAGAAAAAAAAGATTACACCTGTCTGACAGCAAAACAAAATCTGTTGAATTGTTCATTTTAATTTCTGGATAAAAAAAAAAACATTAATTCAATGAACTTTATGACATTAATTTCTTGTATGTTGGTCTGCATATTAATTTAAAAAATAAATACTGAACTAAACGAATTGTTCAATAAGGCCAATCTTCACCTTGAAGGTTAAAAAAATACATACTTTCAACACAGCAAATTTAGTGTATTTGTCTGGCTTTACATCATCTAAATGTTTGTCAGCAAAACTGGAAACTGGAAAATTAATCTTTAAAACAGCTGTGATGCAAACAGTGATACTTAGACAATATAGAATAAGGAACTGCCAAACTAAATTTAATGAAAGCTTAAATTAATAAAAAATACTTTTAATTGCAAATTATAATTCTGAACATATAAATGAGATTCAAATGAAAACCAAAACTGAATAACTTGATAAAGAATATAGTTACATATCACTATTTAAATAGAAATTAATGAATAGAGGACACCATATATTTTGTATAGGCGTAAAAGATGTAAAAATTTGAGGCAATGTAGATTCTGTAGTTATCTGTAAATACAAGATACAGATATTTCTCTTCTTGCTACATTAAAAAAAATTCTAGATTTGAAGTTGGCAAACCTTTAAGCTTTGAAAATCGTCGTAAACAGAGATATCATAAAATAATATTTTTTTTAATGATGATTGTTTCTGAAAGTTTTCAGGAATGTGTTGCATTATAATCACTGAAGGAAGATTTTAACCACATGTAACATTTTTATTCACTGTAGGAAGATTTCAACCACATGTAACATTTTATTGACAGCAAAACTGGGAGACCCTCATTATTCTAGTAACTAAAACAGGAATGTTACAAATATTGTTCGCTTCGCCCATATCACATAAAAATCTATTCAAGATTAAAGAACGACTTCAAAGATTTCTGTGGTAATTTAAAATGTACATTTAAAACAAAATTATATCATTGTTTTGGCATTTGCACTGAAGAAAGTAATAATTAATAAAGGAGTTAAGATGTTACCTACCTAACATTTAACATATAAAGCATGGATTATAAAAATATATCATGTTTTGACTTTTGAGTCTTAAAAGATCTCATTTACATAATTCTTAAGACTTCATTCACTGCCAGACCAGAAAACCTGCACAAAGAATTCTGACCTGCTCAAAACAAGTTTTTATTGATTATTTTTAGTTCAAACATTTTTATAATGCATGCTGCGAAGACAGATGATTTGCCAAGTTCTGAAGAGTTTCTTTGAAATATTTGAAATATAAGTGAAATTCAGGTGTTGAATTTCTGTCGAATAATCTAAATAAATTAGATTTTTTCAAAATGCTTTACTTAGTTAAACTGATATTGATTCAATCAATGTATAACTTATCCTTTCTTTAACAATTTCACAATTTAAATAATATCATGTCTTTTAAATTCCCCCTAAAAAACAGTTTTAACAGTTTAATTTTCATCAGAACTTGGCGAGTTGAACAGATAAGACATATCATGCACATATTGTTCACACATCCTCTTATCTTATTTTTTTGTTGATGTATGAACAAAAGTGTTTAATATATTATAATACAAGATAGTACATAATGCAGATGGGATTTTTATCCCATTTTTACAATTTTTCTATTATTTTGGAATAAATAAGTTATCTTGAAACCATATACCCATCTGTTCAACTTAACTGATACGTAACTAGTCACTAATAATGGAATGTCAACATCAATTCTGGCTTCTCTCTTAATAAAACATCTCAAGTTGAGGATTATTTTCCAAATTTAAGAAAATGTTTTTAATTTTTTTAGTTTGACTGCTTACATTATGTATGCCAAAGAGTTGAAAAAAAGCTCAACTTGAGAGATGTTTTATTTAAGATAGGCCGATTTACAAATTTACCAAATTAATACTACCTGCATAAAATCTGACAAATCTTAACAATTTGAACACTAATTTACCTGTTTTGTAATCTTTCTATCATTTTTGTATAAATATAAATGTATAATTAATTGTGTAGCTTTTTACAATTAAAAAAAAAAGAATATGTATATAAAAAAATATAATAACAACCTCATATTGCACTAACAATGGAATTCTTCAATAAACTAGTGGCTCCAAGAGCCTGTATTACTCACATGGCTTACAATTATAACTTTGATTCACGAAAGGCAACTTTTAAATAGCAATAGTTATGTAATTATGGTCATGTTTGGAAAAAAGCTAATCTAGGATTTGCATAGGAGAAATTTAATACAATTTTTGTTCATTTTATCCTTATGTTCCATTTTCAGTTATATGATGGTTGCTTAGCAAAATCCTTACATTAAATTCTGAAACTGAACAACATATCCTTGATGATTTGATTCTAAACTGTATTGGACTGATGACAGATACTAAGTGATGGCAATAGCTTACACTGGCACTTTTGACCAGGTGAGCTAAGAGAAAAAAATCTGTTTAATTGTAAAGAGAAGAGTAGAAAACAAAATATCTTACAACTTAAAAAATGTTATCAATAAATCTTCAACAACCTAATCATTTAGGTTGTCAAATGGATTTCTAGTAATTAAAAATCAATAAAACCTTCATCAAAGATTTATTGCACTAAGTGGAATTTCATTGTGTATTACTTTCAAGAATTTGTGACAAAATATCTTACTACCATAACACAGTTTACATTTCACCATTTTATGTTTATATCTAATCCATTCAACTATAATGTTGACCATTAAAAATTACCTTTAATAAAAAATTAACAATAAATTTTACCTAAAAATTGTAATACCTATGAATTTCAAGCGTTCAATTAATTGTTGGAAAACATTTCTATGGAATGTGAGGGGAAAAAACAGCTTGGAATATTTTGGGATTTCTAAAACAGAATAACAAATCATTTTCAGATCAAATTTGCTGTGTCTATGAGTAATGTACAGGAATAATATTTTGTTTGTTATTTACCCTGAGGATTAAGTCACATGCAAATAGATTCAAATTTCAGTAGGATATTTAGAGTACAACTTTTGGTTGGTTTCTGTATTTAAAATGACATGCTATTTTCAAAATGTTTGTCATCTTCAATACATTTTTTGATATGATAACAGCAACAATGTCAAAATCAATCTTCTGACTTATTTTGGCTCTTTATTTGTTAAATCAAAAACAAACTAATTAGATAGCAGTAAACCTTTCTTATACTTTCTTTGGATAGTTTTAATTTTTAAATATACAATTATTCATTCTTAGTTTTCCAATATTATTTCACAAAGTTATGATTTTTAGAGGTGCATGACTACTTATTTAGTAACATGCATGATTATTTTTTCTGTAAAAACATCTTTCATTTCTATCCTCTTAAATAACAGACTTTTGGAACTATCAAAAGGTAACAAGAAAGTTTGATAATAACTTTTCAGATCTAATAGAATACACCATTATCCCAAAGAAGGCATCATTTCCATATAGATTTCCGACAGCAGGTTTATCTGTAGCGTCTTCCGAAGTACCTGAGGATAAGGTCTCGTAACCTGTCCACATCATACTCCTCGGCTGGATACTCTCCGTAGAAGTCCTACAATATGTTTAAACAAATCATGATAAGACTTACTTTTGAATTCATAAATGCTTAAGTTGTGGCTTCTTTTTTTTACAAAGGAAACACAAATTCTGTTTTATTCGACCAAACTGGATCTCTTGACGCTATATCTTGCACTTAGCAATGTGTGTTGCAGCTCAAATGCATAAAAATATTTAAAAACAAAAGCTTTCTAGACAAATCAAATAATAAAACATTGTTAAAGTATTCCTCATTGCAAAAGGATTTATTATCCTTTTTGGTACTTATTTAGCATTACCTGACTACAAGGATGACCCGTTTTATCTAAAACTTAAAAGATGAGATTGTGTAAAAAATATGTCCATATCTTATCAGCTACAATGCTAGCATGAATATTTTTGCAGTTTTCTAAGTTATTAAGAGCATTACCCCTACAATCGTTCATCGATAGAACTCATTTAAATCTGCTTGAACTATCATTGAGAAGGATCTTACATATCCATAACTGATGAAATGTTGATTTGCTAGATACCTAACAAGGTTATTGCTGATATATTTTAAGACATTATCAATCATGACTCCTACAAAAATTCATCAAAAGGACTGTTTTAATTTTAGTTATCCATGAGACTGATGATTGATGGTTTAAATATACTTATTCCAAAATTTTAAATGAATCGGATATTACAAAATGTACAGTTTTGTACAACATGTTGAACTATATTTTTATGTCTATGACCTAATCAGTTGGTGGTATGGACATGATACTAGTTTTGCAATAATACCTTTTTTAAACCATGTTACATACAATAAAATTAGTACTCCAAACTCCAAAATACATACTAGTACAACACAAAGAACAACTTTTAAACAAATGGCAACATTTAATTACAAAGCAGCCTCTAAGAGAGTAATCTTAATCCAAGTAACTTAAATATAAAATATTTCAGAGAATATATTTCTGATGTTTATTATACAGTTTGATGATAGTAAGAAACCTAACAACTACTCAAGGAACTCTTTAACAAGAAATTTTACAATAGTCAATAGAGCAAGTTTTTATTTGGACCTACCAGTACTTTTGGTGTGAAGCAGGTAGACTCTGTGGAACAGCCATGTCAAAATCAATAAATAATTACAAAATATATCAAAGAACTCGTGCTAAACTATAAACCAAGTCAATGTAGTGTGAAATTGACCTATTCTTTATGAAAAGCTGTCAGACACCCTAGATTCATTACCGTACTAAGTTAATTATTTGAAGTGCTTAACAAATATCTCAATCACATATACTTACCCTGTTATCAAATGCAGCATCACCATCTTTGATTTCTGGTTCCAAGTTCCCGTTAACTGGTGTCAGTTGAAAGTCCCTTTCTACAGCTTCAGTCATTGGCTTATTTTGAACTTCAACAAATTCTTCCATGGGGAGATAACCCTCCTTCACTACCTTTAGTTTATACTTTCCATCAATCAATAGTCTGTAGTAGTCACCATCCTTGTCTGTTAAAGAGCACCAAAAAGTATCATTAGATCAGGGTAATGGGTTTAGGTCAATACCTATGAACATATTAAAGACTCAACAAACAAAGCAAATTTTGTCAAACTTAGAAAATCAAATCCAAATTTAGGTGATTTTAAACTCTTGAGATAAGAGGTCAGACTAAGTTGTTCAATTGTCACACAAAAAAGTCTGCAATAAGACATGTCACTTATCCTAAACACACTATCCCAACTCTTAGCTTTACACCTAAATGCTATTGCTTAAGGTAGAAGCTGTAAATTACAAATTTAGACAATTAGTCCTATGTCTGATCAAGAAAGGGAAAGTTAAGTTTTAACCCAACTGACAATTAAGCTGTTTTGAGTAAAATGAGTGTAATTTTCTTCTGGTAGGATGCTGTTGAATACTCTAGATACACCCTTATATTAAGAAATATAATTATAAATCACTTCCTATTTTCACATGAACTCAGAAGTAAATTTAACTCCAGTCAATAATTGACTTACCTGCAGTCATTGATACAAATTGTACTATGACAGCCCTTCTAAAGGTTGTTGAAAAATGTCAAACAAGCAAAAAAAGCTCATTTTTTCCTTTTCTCATTAGCATCATAATAAATATGTAGTATCATTGAAAAAAAGTTTTCCAACTTCAAAAACTGTTACTCTTTTTAACTAACTTGACCTATTTTAAATCCAACTTACTTGTTGTAATATCATGATTGATGTACTTGACATCATCACCTCCAGCGACCACTTTGTAGACCTTCACTGAGGCATTTCTTATAGGTTCTCCTGTCTCTGCATCTGTAACAATCCCTTTCACTCCATCATGCACCTAAAATTTAAAGTCAAATTAATACTTGGCCAACACACTCAGAAACTGAAGAAAGTATGAAGGAATTTATGTTAAGTTTGTAAATGATTTTAAGTTTACATATCGATCAACTCCTTCAAATTAGCCTTCAACATTTTAATAGTCAAGTGTTTAAATACTCACTGAAATCAATATTGTTGTTTATAAAACTGTTCAGGTAATGTATATTCATGTACCAAAAGTAAGACAAATTTGTACCTGAAGCATGTAGTTGATAAGTGCCTCTTTGTTCTGGTGCCAGTAATCTTCCTCCTTTTCAGGTACTGGGAACTTGTCACAACCTAACTCTAGTGTGATCTCAAAACAGTTTGTTTCAAGGAGATTGTAATCTTGCATTCCTAAATTACAAAAAAAAATTGTCAAATTGGGATTGTAATTCTGAACTAAATGTGTTATTCTGCAATCCTGCAATAGCAACATAGTTTCTGTCAGGAAGATTCATACATCATTACTAAGTTTGTCTTAGTAAGACCCTTACAAAACAAACAAAGGAAATTTTGACCTTTGAATTTGCTTTCACATTTTTATCAATCTATCTAGAAGCATCCCCCCTTTTTTATGAATAAAATCCCATAACTCAGAAAAATAAAATCTAAAATTTATAAAAATCGAAAGGGAGCTTACGTCAATAGATACAATCAATTCAAATGTGTATACCATAATACGTCCCATAAACGGGATTATGAAAATTGCTTACATATTTGCTAAAGGCATTTAACATGTTTAAAAAGTTTTCTTGGGAGATTCATAGATACAATTCCAACAGAGGTTTTTTGCAAACAAAAAATAAAACAAAAAGTGTTCATACCTCCTGGAACAGAGTACCAGTTAGCTCCATTAGTAATACCCTCTGGGAACAAATCATCCCCTGACATATCACATGGTGTACGATTTTTCTTGGCCATTTCTGTGTGATATAGAGAATAGGATTCTGCTAAAAACCTGAAAGAGACAGAAAATGCATATTAAAATAACACACTGTACAAACCAAACATATATCAAAATCTGACAAGAAATTTTTTTGCTAAGAAATATACACCAATAACTTTATATATATATATATACACATTGTTAAAATATACTTTTTCACTCATTTGGTCTTTTGGAAAATGTTGTTTGTGCTGTATTTAGACCCCTCTACCAAGAAATTTGTTTTGCATGCACACTTATAATAAAATGCTTCGCTGGGGCGCAGCTTGATACGACCGCAGAGGTCGAACCCTGAACAGTTGGGGCAAGTATGGACACAACATTCAAGCTTGATACAGCTCTGAATTTGGATTGTTATTAAATATTTGACACAGCATAGGTTTCTGACACAGAAAGAATGTGGTCTAAGAACTTGAATTTTTTTAATTTACCTATTATGGTCCAATGTCCAAAATCAAAATACATGGTTAGATTCAGCATATCAAAGAACCCCATATATTCAATTTTTGTTAAAATCAAACAAAGTTTAATTTTGGACCCCAACTTGGACAAACTTGAAAACTGAGCCCATAATCAAAAATCTAAACACATGTTTAGATTCAGCATATCAAAGAACCGCAAGAATTCAATTTTTGCTAAAATCAAACTAAGTTTAATTTTGGACCCTTTGGACCTTAATGTAGACCAATTTAAAAAACATTACTAAAAATTAAAAATCTAAATACACGGTTAGATTTGGAATATCAAAGAACCCCAATAATTCAATTTTTGATGAAATCAAACAAAGTTTAATTTTGGACCCTTTTGACCTCAATATGAACCAATTTGATAGCGGGGCCCACAAATAAAAAATCTAAGTTCATGGTTAGATTCAGCATATCAAAGAACCCCATATATTCAATTTTTGTTGAAATCAGAAAAAAGTTTAATTTTGGACCCCAATTGGACCAACTTGAAAACTGGGCCCATAATCAAAAATCTAAACACATGTTTAGATTCAGCATATCAAAGAACCGCAAGAATTCAATTTTTGTTAAAATCAAACTAAGTTTAATTTTGGACCCTTTGGACCTCAATGAAGACCAATTTAAAAAACGGGACCCAAATTAAAAATCTAAAAACACGGTTAGATTTGGCATATCAAAGAATCCCAATAATTCAATTTTTGATGAAATCAAACAAAGTTTAATTTTGGACCCTTTTGACCTCAATATGAACCAATTTGATAGCGGGCCCACAAATAAAAAATCTAAATACATGGTTAGATTCAGCATATCAAAGAACCTCATATATTCAATTTTTGTTGAAATCAAACAAAGTTTAATTTTGGACCCCAATTTGGACCAACTTGAAAACTGGGCCCATAATCAAAAATCTAAATACATGTTTAGATTCAGCATATCAAAGAACCCCATATATTCAATTTTTGTTGAAATCAAACAAAGTTTAAATACTGGACCCTATCTTGGACCAACTTGAAAACTGGGCCCATAATCAAAAATGTAAACACATGTTTAGATTCAGCATATCAAAGAACCCCAAGAATTCAATTTTTGTTAAAATCAAACTTAGTTTAATTTTGGACCCTTTGGACATTAATGTAGACCAATTTAAAAAACAGGACCCAAAATTAAAAATTTAAATACACGGTTAGATTTGGAATATCAAAGAACCCCAATAATTCAATTTTAGATGAAATCAAACAAAGTTTAATTTTGGACCCTTTTGACCTTAATATGAACCAATTTGATAACGGGGTCCACAAATAAAAAATCTAAATACATGGTTAGATTCAGCATATCAAAGAACCCCATATATTCAATTTTTGTTGAAATCAAACAAAGTTTAATTTTGGACCCCAATTTGGACCAACTTGAAAACTGGGCCAAAAATCAAAAATCTAAATACATGTTTAGATTCAGCATATCAAAGAACCTCATATATTCAATTTTTGCTAAAATCAAACAAAGTTTAATTTTGGACCCTTTGGACCTTAATGTAGACCAATTTGAAAACTGGACCCAAAGTTAAAAATCTAAATACACTGTTAGATTCGGCATAACAAATAAATAAATGTGATCAAAGATTTTACAAATCTAATGCGCCATTACTGTGCAATTAAAGATTACTTCTTGAAATTTTTCAATATTTGAAATTTGAAAAAAAAAATAATATTTGAAGAATAATTCTTTTTAATTTCTGAAATCTGAAATGAGAAAAAATTGACCTCCCACAATTTCTTTTTATCCCCCCCCCCCTTTTTTCCCCAAAAAAATTCTTTCCCTCAAGATATGGTCATAATCTCAATTCAAATTTCCAATGGAGTTGGCAACCATAATTACCCATTTAAATTTACCATAGTGCTAACTTAATCTATTTTATAATAGAATTAAAAATATAGTGTCATATCTTTCATATGGATTTTTTTGTAAAAAAAAAAAAGATGCAACATTTGCAGATATTTTTACTGGTCTTCCTTTATAAATATGCATTTCTTTAAACATAATTTAAAAGCAGTGTAAGGGAAGTAACCAAAACGTTGTATTTGGATTACCTCCCTTAGACTGTATTAAATTATCTTTATTGTTCATTAACCATTACTTTATACATAATTTAAAAGCAGTCTTTGGGAGATAATTTCAATGATGTATTTGATTTATCTCCCTTACACTGCTTTAAATTATGTTTTGTACTAAAGTATTTGTCCATTAACCAGGACAACCTTGTTTTTCCCCCTTTTTTGCCCCTAATTCCTAAACGGTTTGAGCCATAACCCCCCAAAGCAAATCCTTACCATCCCTTTGTGGTATGGAAACTTGTAGTATAATTTCAGAGAGATCCATACACTGTTCCACAGTTATTGTCTGGAAACTAGAAAATGCTTATTTTTGGCCCCTTTTTGGCCCCTAATTCCTTAACTGTTGGTACCATAACCCCCAAAATCAATCCCAACCTTCCTTATGTGGTATTTAACCTTATGGTCAAATTTCAAAAAGATCCATTCGCTTAAACTAAAGTTAGAGTGCGAAAACCAATGTGTCTTCGGACGACGACGCCGGACGACGACGACGACGCCATACCAATATACGACCACAAAATTTTTTTGCGGTCGTATAAAAATTGCGGTTTTTATCCAACGCAATCATAGGTTTGAACGTTGTTTTCAATTGAGACTTGTATATATGTATATATATATATATATATATACCATTTAATATTTCATATTGTAAAAAGACCAACCCCGATGAAGACTATTTGTTGTTCTGAAATATTTGTATTTCTATAGGATATTATTTCATCTTTAACTTATATATCTTTTAACATTTTTTTTACTAAAATCTATATAATGTATAATTGATCCTGTTTATGTAGCATCCTAAGCGATCAGATACCTACTTACTTTGAATCATTATACATATATATGATCCTCCTTCTTTCTTATGGCCAGTGTAAAATTCTTATATGTTAATTGTACCCGTAGGTACTAATGTGGTTATAAAAGTAATCCAAGCCTTCTTCATCTCTATGAAGTGAACTCAAATTAGCATGCAACAAACATGTTTGAATTATTCAGTTAAGTATTCCATTCTGATACTAATAAAAGGAGACGTGACACGATTTAAAAAAAATTTTTTTTTTATATTTAATTGATAAATATTAGTTTTAATACATATTTTGTACAATTTTGCTGGTCAAAAAACCTGATCAATCGGCATTTTTTAAGTCAAAGAATCCAGCGCTTGTCATAATGAATGATTTTTAATTAGATAACGGTCACGTGATCGTGCTTACGTCAGTGGTTACAAGCTGGGAAAATGTCTCTTACTGTGGTAACAATCCGATCGGTATTGTCTGAAAGATCGTCGTTGTTGGACTTTTCGCATGAAGAATTAATATCCTTTTCTTGGTTATTTTCCACACACAATGGCTCAAATTGATGAGGTCAATTGTCTCTGTAGTTTGTCAGTAATCGGGAAAAGTGCTTTCAATACCGTCCATAGTGTATCGACTTCATCATATAGGTTTCCTGATGAATAAATTTAATAAACCGCTTTCCTCATTTTTTATTTATTCAAATAAAACTACTTTTAATCATGATTCAAAATATAAATTTTATTATTGATGATCAAATTGTTCTTTTTTCTCTCTGTTACCAGGTTACGGTTAAGTTATAATTATGTGTACGCCCGAAGCAGAAAGAAAAAAAAAGAAACGATAGTAAAAGTAAAATTATGCGTTCGCAAAGGGTACGTTTTTTGTTTTGTTTTGGTTATGGTGATACTTTTAATAGGTATAAACTATCACCAAAAGTTATGCATATATATTTTTTGGTTGGAAACCATACATCACGCCAAGGATTCGTATAGTGACAAATCCTTTATCACACTTTTTCTGCATTAGGATATTCAATTAACAATTTTATTACTTTCCCCCTTTTTATGTAAACAATTCAATTCAATATTTTATTTACGTCTCACCTTATGTATAAAATTAAACAATACAAAACATTTATTGGAGGCTGTTGTATTAGTAATTAAATTTTGACACCTATAGCATGCTTGACCAGGTGAAAGGTAAGAAGGCATCTGTAGTGTGATTTAGTCGGGTGTTATGTTATTTACCTTGAACTACTGTAGTCTTATGTTGAAATAATTAATATAGTTATATTACACTTCTAAAGTATGCAATTCCATCCAAACCCTTATAAATCTAACTTCAAATTTAAGGAATTACACAAAGTAAATTCAAGTTCACACATTTCCACCCTTCTCTTCCAAATATCATTTAGCAATCAATTTGTTTATTGCTACCAGCAAAATGCTTGAGTCCAGGAAAATATTCACAACTTAATATTTCTTCAAAAAGGGGTCATTTGAATAGATGTTAAATTTTCAATCGTACTGAACATGAAAATGTTTACATGTTACATACTTCAGTCTTCGAATACATGAATTATGTATTATTTGTATTTGGCTTTGATCTAGCATACATTATTTGTGCGTTATCTCTCTATTGTTTTTACGTTAGTGGTTTCTGTACTTCGTACCGATCTTTTGAGTTAGACTGGTTTTTATAGTTCTTATGTACTGCTGTAAGACCGCTATCACACGTTTGGAGGGGGGGGGGGTAGGCGCTCACAAACATATATCCCCCCACGACAAATTGTGAATGTGCCTGTCTCAAATCAGGAGCATGTATATCAGTGGTTCATGTCTGAAAGATTTTTTCTGCGGAAATTATTTTGTTATAAATAAGTTAGTTTTATCGCTAAAATTGTTTCACATTTTCATGTTGAGAACTTTTATAGCCGAATATACGGTATGAAGTTATAGACTTGCAAGCATACAGGAATATTACTTTTCCATCTCAAGAAGTCAATTAAAAAAATGCATCTGTTATAAACCTTTTTATATCTGCATATTCTTAAAAGCAATAAAAATAAGATCTATATACAGGTTGTCTGTAATTAGTTATCAACGCTGGTTAGGGTATTTAATTGGTGGTGCATAGGGTATTGTATGGTCGTACTACTTGCAGGTATTCATTAAACATCTTTGTACCTGTATTACTGTGACAATAATATATTCCAATCTCACATGTGCCCTCGGCAAAACCAACATCCAGGATGTACACAAAGAGCTTATGAAGTAATATTGCGTAATAACTATATCTTATCAATGGCGTGACACCTGAAGCTTGCAACTTCAAACGAGACCTGAAATTGCGAAACTCAGTCACCTGTACCGTTCACCTGTGACCTATGATGAACTCATGGCATGACGCCCGAGACCCCAACTCTGGATTCCTTATGAAAGTGGGCGGAAAGAAGTGTAATTTGGGCTTGTTAAAAAATCCTATCTTTACACCTTCTAAGTCCGCGTGTCATTCGAAAAACAGAAAATATCATGTCAATATATATATTCTTTTTAATTATATTGTTGAATCCATCGGCATCACACATACTCATTTTTTTATCACTGTCATACGTTTTGTTGGATAATAATCGAAACTAAATTTGCGCTGTACCCATATGTTTATATGAATGAAAGGAACCACTGACGTAGTAGCCTCGTTCTGAGTGACTTCCGGGATGGAAATATGCATATTTGACAGGTCGATAAATCGTTGCATTAAAATCTCATTAAAATACATATTTTAACAAATATTTGACACTTATATTGCTATCGATGTATTTTTGGGGAAAGTTAAGTATAAATAAACATTTTGAAAAATCGTGTCATGTCTCCTTTAAGGAATCGTATAACAACAAAGACTGTCAAAAATTTACCTGACAGCTGAAGTAAACAATCTTTGACAAAAAAGTTTATAGTATGTTTATCTTACGATAAATTTGTCAAACATTTAGAAAAGAGAAGCATGCAGGGGATTATCATAAAAATATGGGAAGTGGTTTGATTGCCAATGAGACAGCTATCCATTAAAGACAAAACAAAAATATTCATTTCGTCGAAAAGTAGGATGTTTTTGTGTACACTCAAGTAGTAACAAAGTCCTACGTAAAACAGCATCCATAATTTGCACACATAAAGTTCCTTCAAATAATGTAATACCAGTCAAATATAATAAATATTCTCAGCCTTTTTTTAATAAATAAAGGCTACTTATTTATTTGAGTTGCCCTTAAGCATGAGCTGCAACTTCTAATTACATGTATACAACAACCTACTCAATTTTTAAAAGTATTGCAAACAGCTTAGAATTTTGCTTGTTGTTTAATGTACATGTACTGGCAAACATGTTGACTGGCATGTAGAATCATCATATATAATTTTGAAACTACACAATCTGAAAGTGATGGTGGTGATGTATTCGTTCATATTGATCTGGTGGTTTTGAGGGAGAAGTGATTTGTTAATTACAGATATTGAACAGACAATGGACAGTGGATGTCAAAATTCACACTAGCCATATGAACCTGTATGATAATAAAGGATTTAAGAGAAAGCATTGAACGCTTTACTTTTGTAGGTAACAACTTTACCTGAAAGTTTCATCATCTGGAGTTTTAGTGTAATGATGTGCAGATTTGTCTTTGGTGGCATCATATGGATAGTTAGCCACTAAATCACCTCCATGTAAGTTAGATGAGAGTACAAATGGAATTTCATGCAGCCAGATCATCACAGCCTTAGTTTCAGGTTGTAGCTGTAAACAAGTAAAGAATCACATTATTTTCAAAAATATTTTTTGTGGATTTTTTTCATAATTGAACAGCTGTTTCCTGCAAGTCAAAGCAAAGCAGAATTCTGAAGAAGCTACCCTGGTAACATATTCTAACAGAAACCCAGCAGCGTCTAAGTTATTACATTATTGTAATATTTACTTTTACTAATATATGTTAAAATATAAGCAAAATGGTGTTCTATATGCATATCTGGTTACATATTGTTCACTTAAAACAAATATTATAAAAAACAAAAAATTATCTTGTTTAAATACTACATTTAGCATGTTTAGCAAACATTTGGTTCGTAGAATGTTAAAACTGATGTAAATTATAAGACAGTTCCAATACAGTTAACTCAATGCTAAGTTTTCTGTATACTTGGCTAATAAAAAGAAATTCACTAATTCATATGAGTTATAGAAGTACACTCTCTGAATGCTTCTACATTCAAACTGATCGAAGAAATTACTTGTCTTTTTAACTCAACTTCAACATACACCTTTGATTAAGTGTCTTAAAGTTGTACAAATATGATAGAGAAATATATGTATACCCCTGGTGTGTCCAGCGCTACTTGATATGGTTCCATGTGATTATTCTTTCCTCCAGTTCTCTCATTTTCGTAAGCAATTGCATTAAGCTTTGGGAAGTTACGATTTAAATCCACATTATTTGCATTAGCTCTACCTTGTAACCAATTTTTTTTTCCATTCTGAAAAAAATAAATTGTATAACATCTTTAGAAACAAATGATATAGTTTGTCTTTTTATTATGTAACAGTATTGCAAACAGTGAAGTTACTAAATACTATTTACAGCTACTTCATCATTCATACAGCTCTTGAGTACATTACAATTTGTTACTGTGTACTGTAACCTCTGGTTAACAAAATGGGGTGTCCTGGATATTTTGGAACAAACAGACAAATACCTACTAGTATACTGTATTTCACATGGCTTTTTTATTCATAATATTTATCCACATTACCAGTATAGAAAATATAGCAATCATTTAAATTATGATTTTTTATTGCTTTTCTCTAAAAGAGTATTTTGGGTTTTTTTAACATTGCAACAAATGATAGATTTCATGCTCATTAAAATGTTACAAAAATGTACTAGATTGCACATTGCAGGGGCGGATCCAGCCATTTATAAAAGGGGGGGTTCTTAAACCAGGATAAAAGGGGGGGGGGGGGGTTCCTAAACCAGGATAAAGGGGGGGTTCCAACTATATGTCCCCATTCAAATGCATTGATCGTCAAAAAAAAGGGGTTTCCAACCCCCCCCCCCCCCCCTTCCCTGGATCCGCCACTGCATTGGGTAAAGTACACTTATTGTATATGGATATATATCTGGTATTTTGGTCAATTAAAAAAGTAACTACATTACAAATTGCAATAGGGTTGCAAAATAGCACTCAACAAGTGAAACTGCGAGCTACTGCTCACTGATGATACCCCCAGCCCAAATAATTGAGGGTAAACAGGAAGTTGTTGAGTGACGAATCTGAAAACGCATCACACTGTATAGCTGACTTATATAAACACTAAAACCAAATTTCAGAAATCCTTGTAATGTAGTTCCTGAGAAAAATGTGACGAGAATTTTCAACTTGGATGTCATGTGTAAAATGATATAAGTGTTCGGTAGGCAGGAAGTTGTTAAGTGATGAACCTGAAAACGCTTCACACAGTATAGCTGACTCATTAAACCCCTGAAACCAAATTTTCAGAAATCCTTGTAATGTAGTTCCAGAGAAAGATGCGACGAAAAATATTCATGGGAAGGACGGACGGACTGACGGATGCACGGATGGACAGACAGACAGACAGAGGTAAAACAGTATACCCCCTTTTTTAAAGCGGGGGTATAAATACTGCTATTGATACATCCAATCAGAATTTGCATAAATAGGCAAAATAAAACTAGAATGTGTCTGATGACACGAATGGCCCAGCTCAAGCTTTGGAATTTTCCAAGATAAAAAGGGGCATCACTCTAAAACAGTACTAAAATGACTCAATGCCCACGTTCAAACTCTGTGTGTTGTGATTTTTTAGCATTGTGTATGAGTTTCATAAAAATTGAATGAGAGAAACTCAAGTTAGAGAGCAGAAACAGAAAAATTTGCAATTTTCAAAGTTATAAAGGGCATTACTCTAGAACGGTAAGTGACTCACTGACCAAATTTGAACTATGTGAGTCTTGGTTCTAAGCATTGTGTATGAGTTTCATAAAACTTGAATGAGGAAATCATAAGTTAGAGTGCAGAAACAAAAATGGAAAGGAAAGAAGGACGGACGGACGGTCAAGGGTAACACTTAATGCCCCCATTGCCTAGTGGCCAGGGATTAAAAAATTGCATATGGTTTAAGTCAAGTTTTCTTGCATACTTATGTTAGCTGTAAGGACTTTTTGGTCGAAAACTTTGTGAAGGATGGGCAAACGGGAAGAAATACATAAATATGTCCTTCCTGAAGTTTACCAAATACAAGTTCTCACTTAGATCTTATACATTTTAGTAAAATTAGTAAATTAGTCTTCACAAATTAGTGAATCAACATTTATGACAGAACATACATTTAATGTGGTCCTACAGGAAATATCTTATATATTCACAAAAAATACATATTAATTTTACAGAGGAGACGCCATAAAACCAATCTGTTATATCAAAGCTATTTATAGATATGTGAACTTTTAACATGTTTAAAGTCAAAAGATGTAAGTTGTAAAAAAATTGTATCAGCCATTTTGTCAATTACTGCTTAGGAAGAATGGTCACTTTGAAAACCATTACAACATTAAAACATAAATCTTGCTTCTTCCCATTTATGGTTATTGCATGTAAAACCATAAATATAAATTTTATATGTCTGCAGAAGTTCAACCCTTGTTTTTATCTTCTCAAAAATAGATTTTCTTCATGACATAATATCGCAGCGCTTAAAATCATCAATAAAGTTATTTCAGATACATGTAAACACAACAATTACGGTATTGTACCAAAATGACATACTTTTGCACTAATAAAAAGAAACAATGATTAAGCAGTATCATATGTCTGACTCCTATTTCTATCCCAAATCAAACAGATTCTTTAAAAATATTATCAGTTCCAACTCCTTTAGGCAAAGTTGAGCTTAAATGAATTTGGTTATTCATTTAGGCCTCTTTTGATCATTTAGCTCCTCACATGCTTAGGTAAATGTACATCCTTGACCTTCAATATTTTGGGGGTATGGGTGTTACTTATGAATGTCAATCAAGAAAAGCACCTTACACCAAAAATTATTTTAAAGTGTTATTTTCATTCATCTTGTGCAATTATTTCAATAAAATAAACTAGTGCCATGTCAGTCAGATAAAAAGGAATTGTAGTCCCCTTCCCCAAACCCACCCACTCTATCTAATTTATCTTTAATCAATGATTGTCATCCTTATAAGATATTAAACAAGAATGATTTTGCTTGAGAAGTTACACTTCTAAGGTTGACATTATATGATGAATCAAACAAATGCCTAAGTTCCACAATTAGACACCTTAAACATATTTTATTGGAATCAGGGGTAATGTCCCTTTAGATTGTTACACCTGAATAGGGCTTGGCAAGGGTGGAAATTAAAATACATTTCATTATTTGTTTACAGCATGCTTTTGTGTGTGTTACCATCATGCGATTCTTATCTTTAACCTTGAACATATTTGTTCCATAAAAAAAGTTTGCAGTCATAACTTGATAAAACCAGCAGGTGTTATTTATATACATGTTTGCTGTACCAATATGCAATTCACATAAATAATTTCTTTGAAATCAATTTATCCGGTTTAAAGTAAGCCACTGCTAGAGAACATGACAAATCATAGAATGACAATCTTCAAGTCTATGAGCTGATATTTTTTCTACCCTCCACTACGGTAAATACAACGTACTCTTTTTAAAACTAATTCAATAATAAAGTTTTTTATGCTATTTAAAAAAAAACCAATAAGGATTACATTGTTAACTCACACATTTGTTCATACAGTGTGTCTCGGATTTTTAAGCTACAATATAATTATTGTGTAATTCAAAATTCCTCAAATATCTCAATTAAATACAAATGTTTCAACATCAAAGATTTAGAATTGATCCCCTTATAATATATGGTGTGAAAAAGACCTCTGACATATGACTGACTTCAATATTTTCCCAATGATTATAATTATTATTCTTTACAAACTAGATCAGGTTATTGATTTCCACCCACTTCATCGACTATAGCATCGGAGAATCTGTCATTGTACAAGTAATTGAAAGGTTTCTTTAATTATCAATATAAATCTACTCTTCTGAGAACTAAATAACCCTAAATCTTTAATATTATCAGAAGACCACATATTAGTAAATTGAACATGCTGCTATCTGTCTGATACAGATATATTTATTTTTATGTAACCTATGGTGAAACTAGGTAACTTTTTCACATGAAAACAATGTAACACATTCATGGAAATTATCTCCTATACCAGATAGTGGTAGATATTTACATGTCTCTCAAAGATACTACATTAAAAATGAACCAGAGGAATTAGAAACATGAGACGTGAAAATCCTTAAATGAGTACAGAAATACCTATCATGTTTCAAGCTTAACTGGGCTAAGCATGTCAACAAGTGAAAGTTGAACCATTTCAAAACTTTAAGCAAATTGTAGACACTTATTCTTGTAATTAATATAAATGTGCTGGACACAGTAATATTCTAAACAGTCCCTCATATATAAATGATGGCAATAGCTCGAAACAATCTATTAAGAACAAATTCTTCTGAGGAATTCAAATTGAAAATATTTGGGTCAACAGTCACTTTTAGTCCTTTTACCTTCTATTATTTCAGAATCTGAAAAAGCAAATTCAAATCTCCTGCAGGTTATTTCATAAGAAATTTGAAGATAAAAGAAACAAGCAAAATCAGACGATAAACATGATAAATAAGTTATAACCACTAATAAAGTTTATGATCCAAACTACTAACTAGAGGCTCTAAAGAGCCTGTGTCGCTCACCCTGGTCTATGTGCAGATTCAACAAAGGACACCACTCTCCAACATTTTAGACAAGAATATAATTCATGACAAAAATCTCTGTTTTGTTGATCTTGTATTGCTGATCATTTAGTCTGTTTAGTTTCTCTCTATCTTCTTTAGTTTTTGCTCAAAACACAAAAGAGGGTAAAAAAAATACTCAATTAAGGGAAATCACTCCTATGAAGAGTGACAGTCTACTAACTATATAGGCAAAATTTGACTAGTTAGTAGATCTTGCCTTGCTGATCACTTTTGTGATTTAAAATGTCTAGTTATCTATTATAATTCTTATCATATAAGGCAAAATGCAAAAATGTGGTAAAAATCGTCATCAAAGGGCAATAACTCTTACAAGGAGTCGCCTGACTATTTCGACCATGAGACTTATTGGTAGAACTTGTCTTGCTGATCATTTTTGCTATTTAAAATTTCTCTCTATCTATTATAGTTTTCAAGATAATGGGCAAAACAAAACAAAAATGGTATCATTTAAGGGCAATAATTACTTCTATAAGAAATGACATATATAGATTATTGGTAGAGCTCAACATTCTGAACATTACTGCTCCTGTCAGATTTTCTCTATTTATAACGGTTTTCAAAATAATAGACAAAACTTCCATTTTACCCCTATGTTCTATTTTTAGCCATGTCGGCCATCTTGGTTGGCAGACAGGATCATCAGACACAGTTTTTAAACTAAATACCCCAATGATGATTGTGGACAAGTTTGGTTAGATTTGGCCCAGTAGTTTCATAGAAGATTTTTGTAAAAGGTAACAGACGACGACAGACGCCAAGTGATGAGAAAAGCTCACATTTGGGACAGGTGAGCTAAAAATAAACCTATCTACACTGGAAAAATAGATGTATCTACACCTGAGTATAGTCTTAATAGAATTTTGTAAATGGACTTATTTCAGAAGTTTTAAAGTACCCAGTACGTGTAAATTTACTATTCAAATTGTTGAACAATGGGCAAAAATCCAAAACAAATTATTACGAGTTAAGGACATGCTGCATACAAATAATGGCATTAAATTCAAATAGATATAAGAAGATGTGGTATGAGTGCCAATGAGACAACTCTTCATCCAAGTCAAAATTTATAAAAGTAAACCATTATAGGTCAAAGTACGGTCTTCAACACGGAGCCTTGGCTCACACCGAACAGCAAGCTATAAAGGGCCCCAAAAATTACTAGTGTAAAACCATTCAAACGGGAAAACCAATGGTCTAATCTATATAAAAAACGAGAAACGAGAAACACTTATGAACCACATCAACAAATAGGGGAAAACCAATGGTCTAATCTATATAAAAAAACGAGAAACGAGAAACACTTATGAACCACATCAACAAACGACAACTACTGAACATCAGTTTTTAATTTTGCAACACCTAGCTATATATATAGTACATTGTGTATCTGTAACAATTTTCCCTATAAAAAAAACCTTAGCAAAAATATCTGAATTTACAGTAAACAATATTTGATATAACAGGCCGTATAAAATAGATCATACATGTATGTTAGAACATGTAGAAAGTCTGGTTTCAAACAGTCTTACTATCGCTCTGTTGTACTGTCAAAACTACACTTTTCAATCCTACACTATCAATTTCCATCAACAGGTTTCTTGTCCATATTAAATATATCAGTTGACCTTGACAGACACACTTTTAGATTTAGATTGTGTAGGATTCAAGATATCGAGTAATGTTCTTGTTTTGCCAGGCAAGTTTAAACTTATAGTATGACATCTGTTATATAAATGAAGGTTTGCAGCCTTAAAACCTGATTTAAAGTATCGCTATACCTTAAGAGCTATGAAAACAGTTCTTGATCAAATTTTTAGTTTAAACAATAATTTGCTTTAAAAATAGATAAGGTTGAGACATTTTTACATTAATGTTTCAGACTGTTCTGGTGATATTTTTTTAAAGACATTTCTGTCACAGTATGGTAGTATCTTTATGTGCTTATTTTTTTTAAATACACAATACACAATGATTAACCAACTTTCACTCTCTACATGCTCTATGATATTTTGGTTAAAATCAATTACCATTAAATTTCTTCACTATAAAAATGTTACAATGTAATTATTCGGTTAGGGATAATTGAACTTTACTGCCATGTTATGTCTTTGGTACATTTAATTTAATGACAATATATCACTGACATGACTAAAAATAAGCCACAGTATGCCTACACAAAGTGATAACATATATCAGAGGATTAGCCAGACAACATATATTATATTTCTCCTATCTAACTTTCCCCTAGCAAAAATATAGACTTTGGCCTTGTCCAGTATGGAGGACAATATAACCAGTACATGACTATTTTGATTAACTTGTGTTGTGACATTACTGTCCCAATGTTTTTTACTATATCATCATCTTTTATTCATACATTTTTTTGTTGTACTATGGCAAGCTGGATTTTTTGTATTGGTAGGTTGCTGTCTCACTGACATTTAAACAATATTTTATTCCAAGTAAAAGCAAACAAAACGACTCAGCTTATCCATTTTTCTTTTTCAGTATCTATCAGGGTGTTCAAAATACTTATCCAGACACAACTTTGTGCTTTTAAGTACAAATGAAGTATGAGGTATATTGATTTAATCTAAGTTTGAGAACTTGACCATGACCATGAACTTTGAGACAGACAAACCAAACTATCTATAAGCCCGGCCAGAAACAGGAAAATATTATACCAAGTACATGTACACGTATCATGCATATTGTTAAAGACATTTAATAGTTCAGAGACAGGCACAACCTTTGATACAATGTATATGTATAAAAAGGTGTTAATTTTTGTCTTTTTTTAGGGTTTTTTTTGTGTGATTAGTGCCAATCTGATGAGCCAATCCTTTTCCAACTGATTTTTTTATAGTTTATAAATATGATGAGTTGTGGTTTGATTGCCAAAGAGACAACTATCCACCAGAGTCCAAATGACATGGATGTAAGCAATTATAAGTAACTGGTCACAGTATGGTCTTCAACAATGAGCAAAACCCATAGTGTATAGTCAGCTATAAAAACCAGGCCATTCAGAAATATTTTTGCTTTGCAATTTTCAACATTTAAATTCAGCCTCCTTTCAATGACAATCTTGCTGTATCCTGTGCTAATATTGATTAATTTTTTTTTTACCTCATCTCTTTCCAACTCATTGGCCAACTCGTAACCATCTGGATTCATTGAAGGCAGGATATGAATACGAGTATGTTCAATTAGCCAACTAATTCTGGGATCATTGTCTTTGTTCTCACTAAGTAATGATACCAAAGCTAGTAATACTTCTCTTCCAACCACTTCATTTCCATGCATATTACCAACATACTTAAACTCTGGTACCCCTGCAAAATAGCAAAATTTTATTTTATTCAGTAATTCTATAAAGACAAGTACATTATTTATTTACCAATCATGGGCCCTTATCAGGCAAGATGCATAAACATCATAATACAATGATTATATTATAAAACATGCAAGACAAGTACATGTACATGTAATACTGCTATACAAACCACCTCCATGAATGCATTTGAATAAAATGACATGTGGGATATATGTCAATGAGACTGTAATAAGTAGCCTGAAATACATGTGTCCTTCCTACTTAAGTTTGTTTGGCCGATTCACTTGATTTATCAGAAACATATATATACATGTACATGTAGAAATAATTCTATAATACCAGTATTATACATAACATAAAAAAATATGTATATACTGTTACAGATTTTGAGACAAAAATTTGTCCAATTGAGGGATATGGATAAATCGTACTTTATACAAACTCTGATTCAAACAAAAAATTCTCTGAAACTGACATTATCAAGATGCTTGATTTCTTGACTGACAACATATTTGATACATTTGGAGGACATCTTTTTCAACAAACAATCGGAATTCCTATGGGAACAAACTGTGCTCCTCTTCTTGCCGACTTGTTCCTTTATACATATGAGGCTGACATCATACAGGAACTTCTTAGGAAGAAAGAAAAGAAGTTAGCAGTATCCTTTAACTTTACTTTCTGCTACATAGATGATGCTCTCTCACTAAATTCAAAATTTGGTGACTATATTGAACACATCTATCCCATCGAACTTGAGATAAAGAATACAACAGATACAGTTAAGTCTGCCTCATATCTTGACTTACATGTACATGTAGAAATTGACAATGAGGGTCATTTGAAAACAAAACTTTACGACAAAAGAGATGATTTCAGCTTCCAATTGTGAACTTTCCATTTTTATGTAGCAACATTCCAGCAGCTCTTGCATATAGAGTATATACCTCCCAGTTGATACAATATTCCAGGGCTTGTATTTTCTATCATGATTTCCTTAAGAGAGAGTTGCTGCTCACAAGGAAGCTATTAAACCCAGAGTTCCAAGTGGTGAAGTTGAAATCATCCATTCTTAAATTTTATGGACGCCATCACGAGTTGGTTGACCGTAATGGAATATCCGTTTCACAGATGACAGCGGATTTGTTCCAATTGTCATAACTACAGTTCTGTCCCCTTTTCCCCGAATGTGACCTACCGAATTAGACTTATTACTGGGTTTGTACTAACATGAGCAACACGATGGGTGTCACATGTGGAGCAGGATCTGCTTACCCTTCCTGAGCACCTGAGATCACCCTTAGTTTTTGGTGGGGTTCGTGTTGCTCAGTCTTTAGTTTTCTATGTTGTGTTTTGTGTACTGTTGTTTGTCTGTTGGTCTTTTTCTTTTATTTTAGCCATGGCATTGTCAGTTTATTTTCTACTTATGAGTTTGAATGTCCCTTAAGTATCTTTCGCCTCTCTTTTTGAGCTAAAATAAAGGATACCCCATATAGTGAAGTCATCAATATATATTGACTTACATCTAGAAATTGAAAATGACACTCAGTAGAGAATTAAGTTTAACCACAATTAGATGATTTAAATTTTCCCATTGGGAACTTTCCATTTCTGTGTAGCAACATTCCGCTGCTTTATATGGATCAACTATACATATCTACCAGTCATGAGCTGACTTTATATACCTATACTTTAGTTTCCCATCATGATTTCCTTTATAGAGGGTTAATGCTTACAAGGAAGCTATAATTTGAACAAAAGATTTCAAATGGTAAAGTTGAAGTCTTTCCTTAGAAATTCTTACTGATGAAATCATGATTTGGTTGACCACAGAAATGTTCTACTCATTGTAGACAAAATCTTGTGCTCTTTCTTTTGCTTGCAACTTGTAATTATCAAATGTGACTTAGCATCAAAATTTTTACTAGCAATGAGTTGCTAAAAATTTTCTGCAAAATTACTGAGCATTGAGAGCTTCAAAACTGCTATCGTGCACCCTCAATAAATCAACAATGCTCTCTCTACTGTTGTATTAAAGTCAGTATTGGTATCTACAACATATTCATACAGATACACATTTTAAATATAAAATTAACAGATTGATAAACTTACCTGGTATATGTTTTCCTGGGTTTTTGGAAAATTCTATCACAGCAAGGTCTAGACCATTTACTGATTTTTTCTTTAAACTATATTCTTTGCTTATGTCTGGAGCATTTTCGTGCGCTGCTTTAAGTACACGTCGAAGGCTGTGAAAGTCATGATTGCCAAACTCGAAAAATGAGAACGGCTTTGACACAGGAGTTCCGCCGTAACATATTGCTGGTATGAACACCAACACATGTACAATATTTATCATATCAACCTACAAAACTTCCTCCTTTCTGTGTCTGTAAAAATGTAGCAGAATGCAGATGTTCTATTTTCGATCTGTCACTGAAGAGAACTTTGTGTTTACTCTCACGCACCTGCTTATGTTTATGAATGAATGACGTTAATAGTGACGTAAATTGTTTGTGAAAGGGGACCTTTATTCATCTCAATAAACTGTGTGTGCATTTTTTTTTCAAACTAACATGACTAATAAAAATAATTATTTATGATCATTTATCAATCTTATTGAAATTATATTAGTTACTGAAAAGTGTATGGACAGTTTGAATAGTCATTGTAACAGCTTATAAACTGGCATGTAAAATGATGTATCCCTCTTTAACCAAATTACGAATTTCTTTGTTTAGCACACAAAACGAATAAAATTCAGTAATGCAACGGTGGAGCGCATACAAGTTGAAAAGAATATATATACATATCAACAATAGAATAATTGTATCCTAAACTGTATATTATATATGATGTTGCAGTATATGCAAGGTTGTATATATGTTCCGGACCATATGAGTATTTGGACCATACGCGTATGGTCCGTGTACCGACCGTGCGAGGGCTGTATAGCCAGTCAAGGTCGTTAAAAACTCCCATCATCATGGTCCGGGTTATTATTATGATGAAAGTTGAACAGTTACTTAAAGTAACTGTTCAACTTTCATTATACTTTTAAATGCATAAGGTATGACCCTTCAATGTGCCATAAATTAAGAGTTGACTTACATAATCATTTGGGGTCCGTGTATCACTAATCAACTCAAAATTTCAAATTGTTTTCAAATTTTAGTTTTTTTGAAATTTTGATCAAAGTTTTAAAATATCAAAATTCCATTTTTTTTTTAATTTTGAAAATTTCACCAGATAATTAAAATTTTGAAATTATAAACTTCGTTTTAAAATTTAATAGTTTAGATATTTAAGCAAACTTTTAAAATACTGAACTGAACGTACAGTTTTGATCATTTCGCTTCTTGAAAGTTTGATTTCTTAAAATTTTTGATTAAAATATAGGAAAGGGGGAAAGGACTAAAAAGTGGATATCTGTTACAAGTGCGAAACGGAATAAGAATGGAAGGAAACGAAATGAAATTTACCAAAACAAATCAAAACGAAAACAATATTATCTAATACTAAATACGATAAAAATTATAAAACAAGAGGCTAACTTGTGACCTACCGAATTACTTAGTGCCAGGTTTGTAATAACATGAGCAACACGACGGGTGCCACATGTGGAGCAGGATATGCTTACCCTTCCGGAGCACCTGATATCACCCCCAGTTTTTGGTAGGGTTCGTGTTGCTCAGTCTTTAGTCTTCTATCACGGTTGTGTTTTGTGTACTATTGTTTGTATATTTTGTTTTCTTTCTTTTTTAGCCATGACGTTGTCTGCTTATTTTGGACACATGAGTTTGAATGTTCCTCTGTTATCTTTCGCCCCTCTTTTTTGTTTGATCCACAGGGTGAAAATGAAAAATATGTTTCTATAAATCGAAACAATAATTAGTAAGACCTGATTTTGACACACTTTGAAACTGTAACTAAATGAACAATATGCAGAAATTACTTGTCGACTTTGTGATTACTGCTATTTTTAAATTGCGAATAAAAGGAAACGGAATAATTGATTTTTGGCTGAATTTTAAGTGGAATTCAAGGACATAGATTTTGCCTTAAATATGTATAGTATTCAGAATAAGATGAAGCGAAATCATCAAAACTGTACGTTCAGTTTAGTATTTTTAAAGTTTGCTTAAATATCTAAACTATCGAATTTTAAAACGGAGTTTATAATTTTCAAATTTTAATTATTTGGTGAAATTTTCAAATTTTGAAAAATAAAAAAAACTGGAATTTTGATATCTTAAAACTTTGATCAAAAATCAAAAAAACTAAAATTTGAAAACTTTTTGAAATTTTGAATTGATAAGTGTTACACGGACCATTTGGTAATCATTGTTATATGATAAATGATATAAAATGAATTTTATTCACATGATAAAACTATAGGAAAAGTACAGTCATTATTGATTTTTCCTTACGAAACACGATATGTCGACTCCTAAAATAACTAAATATGTAAATGAACCGTTAAACAATAGGTCAACTGTCCTCATAGGTAATTTGGGGCACTGAAACCTCTTTTTGCTCTTTATTTTGATGTTTCGATGTTTTTTAGTAAATTCAAATTTCTTAAATATTTCAAAATATTCAGTTTGGTTAATCAATTTGTTCATGCTCCTATCTATACGATTTTATAATTACAGTAGTTTATACGTGATGCCCCTCTATTCTTATGTCGAAAATAAAAATAGAGGCGCAGCACGTATAAACTTCTGTTATTGTAAGAGCATGAACATATCAGTCAAGTGAAAATAAGTTGAAATTAAAGAAAAAACCCTACTCTAAACGACGGGGAAAAAGAAAAAAAAACAGTCCATGCCCCAAACGCCTGTGGTTTTCACTTACGGGTGGAATTGTAGACAGGATAATGGCGCTTAAAATTGACTCAAGCAAAGGCAAGATATGCAGCAGATTTACCAAGATAAAACAGGATGTCAAAGTTAAAGGATTTTAACTATGAAGGAAGTTAGAATTTATTCGAAAAATATCTATATGGTCCGCCGGGCCCGTTGATAACCAAACGAGTATATACTCATATCAACTGACCGGACCGTATGAGTATTTAGACCATACAGGTATTTTTCGAATAAATTCTAATTCCTTCATAGGAACGGGGGTATGGTCGGACCATATGAGTATACCCATATGGTCATGACCGTACGCGTATGGTCCAAATACTCATATGGTCTTTAACATATATACAATTATGATTGTAAATTGTTATTCAGTGCGCCATATGGGTCCATAAAGTACAGTTTTACCGTATTATATGTCTCTGATCAAATATATGATTTGATTTGATTAGATTTACATTAATGAAACCAGAGACATATATACACATATATATATGTGTATATATGTCTCTGATGAAACACAAAGATAATCATAATTTACTTTATTCACTTCAATATGGATTCAGATCAAAAGTGAGCGACCAGTGACGACTCTACTCACATTCACTCAACAAATTTTGGATTATATATGGCAAATTGTAAACAAAATTTGAACAGTGGGAGAAAGAATTGCTAATGTCATTCAACCCTGACAAATGTGAAATGTTCGATATAATTTGCAAACAAAAACTTATCATTTGGTAATATTCACTGCATAATCAAATACGAAAGTAAAATATCTTGCCATTACCATCACAAATGATCTTACCTGGAATCAAAATCGCACATGGATAACATTTCAAATTACACAAATGCAGAACTAAGACTTATCATGAGGAATGCAAAGACAAACAACATAATAAAGACTAAAGAATAAGCTTTTTAAACTTTTAAAAAAGTTTAAGACAAGCCAAAAAATATTCCATTGTAATCCCTTGCAGAGTTGATGGATTTCCGTATCTAAAGAAGAGACAATAACTAAATAAAATCGAAATGAGTCAGAAAAGAGCTGCCTGGTATACTTTAAATCAGTTAACTGTCAAAGAAGTGTAAGAGCCATTCTTGAACACCCAATCTTACCAACTCTTTAACAAAGACGAAATCTAGCATCATTCACCATTCTCAACTGAATTCAGCACCAACTAGTTCCATCTCAAACAAAGATTTTATTTAATACCTTCAATAGAACATATATTTGTAGAGCCAATATCCCCATTAACTTTCTATTCATTTTCCGGCATTTTTTTCCTCGCGCAAAAAGTAAACTCAGTAAATAAATAAAATATACGTTTAAAAATGTACAACACCAAAACAATGATAAAAAGATATGGAACATAAAATACAAAATTCAATAAATATTTCGGACAACAAATATCCTTCAACGGCATCAGTATGATCAGCCTGGTGTAAAATGGCGTTACAAGCTATGCTAATTCTCAAAAATCTTGACCATTATACAAATTAAAAACCGAACATCGTTTGTAGAAAAGTTAAAGTTACAATTCAAAAATGTTGAACTTCATACAAATTAATTAAACACAAAAAATAGAAAGTTTAGAGTTTTATAGTATGCTATAATCTTGTGGAATAGATATCAATTAAGTATTTACAACCGGCTGGGATGCGTAGTTATACATCTCAAAATGAAGTAACACATCTAGTACTGCTTGATTTTAACTACCTCTTTTCATAGACCCCATTTGATGCAACCGTTTTCAACTTTCGTATCCAAAATCTTTCCCAACTGACTCTTTCCTCTCTGGTCCATACAGTGGTGTGGTCAATGATAATGATAGTCAATCGGTTCAGATCTGCCTTAGAGTGACCAGGAGATCTCAAATGTCGACTGAGAGGGAGGTCTGGCTTACAGTCTTAGTCACTACGATGGCCATTCATATGTTTGTGAAATGGATGTTCTGACTCGCCAACATACTGTTTGCCACATTTACACTGAAGAAGATATATATACAGTGTTTGTACTTTTACAATTAACATTGCAAAATATGGTGTATGTCGTATCAGTCGAGTGACTGTTGAAAGTCTGGGTGTGCAGTATTTGCTTGCAAGTCAGACATCGTTTGTTTCCATGTATAACACAAACGGAACTCTTTTGTTGCCTTTTTTCTCTTTATACTGTAAAAGCTCGTCTCGGTTGATGTTGTTAGCACGAGAGATGCATTTATCGATATATTTTCTTCTGTAACCCCTGTTTGTTATAGGTGGCAGCGAAGTTATTGTTATCGCTTTGTCACAGTATCATTGGTGGAACAAATCCGCTTAATCCCAATGGTTTGACTGTAAGGAATGCACCTGGTACAGTGTTTTGGTTGACAAATCTGGGGAGAAAGATATTGATTAATTTTGCTGGCTTGCAGTATAGATCTTTAGATATGATTCCATCATTCACTTGTGTAGTAGTGTCAAGGAATATCATCTTAGAGGCAGAAATTTCATGAGTGAATTTTATTGAGGGATGAGCGTTGTTTGATTGCTCAATGAAAACATGAAGTTCTTGCTCAGTATTATTCCACTTCATGTCTATGTCGTCAATAAATCCGAACCAAGAAAAAGGTTGGTGTTCCAATTTGTACATAAAAATATTGGCAAAGGACGGGACCATTGTTCCCATTGTTGTTCCATTAACCTGGAGATCAGTAGTAGAGTTAGGATTAGGGTTAGGGTTATAGCCAACAGCCAAGTATTGGATGGCTTCAAGTCTGCTGTATTATCAAAATCTACATGTATGTTTTGTATCTATACATCAATTATCTTGATTATAGGAAGTAAAAAATAGTTCATTTGACATTTATTATAGATATAGGCACAGTTTAAATATTACGTTCCGTGTAACACGTTCCATCTTCAACATTTTGAAAATAAGTATCCCTTACTGTAGATGTGTAGTGTCTGGAACACAGAAATATAATAAAACGAATTTATCTTGGCCAACGGTATACACTATAGAACTTTATTAAAAGCAATGCTTACAAAACTAGCAATATATTGACGTAGTTATTTGGAAGCAGCATGAAAAGTGGATAACATAGTACATACCCGAAAAGTCCATTACTGAATAAGAAGGGATTATTGGTTTTAAAAGAATAAATAAAAGAAAAAAATGAAAGAAATCGTGTTTTCATGATCCTAGCAAAAAAATGTAATTATAAGTATTGAATTCTTCTTCAAGTTAGTAATTTTATAGGGGTATAAAAGCGTTGACCGTGCGCACATTTTTAGAATGAAGCACTTCTGCGCTTCATACAAAATGTACTTCGGTCAACGCTTTTACACCCCAATAAATTTACAAAAAAAACCATTCAATTCTTAATTTAAATATAAAATGGCTATTTGAAAATATTAAGCAACAACTACAATTATGTATGTACAAATGTAATACAATTTAAAAGTCTGTCCTCCGACTAGAACGGTCTTTCACTATCAGACAGACCAGGCAGTGAGGGTTGTTGAAGCTTGCAACTTCAAACGAGACATGAAATTGCGAAACTCAATCACCTGTACCGTACACCTGTGACCTATGATGCACTCATGGCATCGTACCCAAGACCCAACTCTGGATTCCTTATGAAAGTAGGCGGAAAGAAGTGTCAGACTGTCCTCTGAGTGGGACCGGTATGCGCTGTCAAGTCCGACTACGTACGACCCGTTGATCTTTTTGTCTTTTCTTTACAAGAACATAGACAGAAATCAAGTGCTATTACTACTATACGGGGTGTTTCATGGCCTTTACTACACACCAGACCACGAGGGACTAAATGTCACTCTAACTGAACATAAAGCTCTTTATGAAAACCCCTTAACATTCGACTTGACCAGTTACTTCTCCGCCAAACATCTAAATCTACACAATGCTTTCTCAAACATAAAAAATGGTATTCCTGCAAGTAGATTCTACTATAAATTAGTATCAATAACGACCAATATACATTACACGTTTGAATAGTGTTGCTTTGTTTCTGTACAGTAATTTAGATCTGCTGTTTCCGCGATTTTTCATATACTAGTCAACGAGAGAACATAAATTCATCGAATTGTATCTCCTGGTCATGATTGTCAAAATGAATATCTAAAAATCTATCATAAATAGATTAAAACCTGCCAAAGTAGTTGTCTTTCTTAAGTTTTTGTTTATTATTATTTTGTAGAATCAAGTGTTAATAACAAATCTTTGATACTTTTTGTTCAAATAAATAAAGCTATATTTATAGACGAATTTTAGTACACAGAAAACATATTATAAGCTCTGCTAAGCTTTTAAATCGTATTATTACAAATATAATATTAAAACGTGACATGCAAGTTTAAAACAAAGCAAGCGTACCAATCACACAATAACTACAGTATCAAAGCAAAGCATGGCACTGAAGAAGCATACATATACTATATACATTATGTAAGTAATTATGTTGTACTATGCAGAAAATATATATAAGTACAGTTAGCAATCATTATTAAAAGCACACAAAGCACTTTAAAACACTCAAGGATTTGAAACACATAAACTGTATTTATAACACATAAAGCAGAAAAATCACTATATATTAAAGCGATAATTATCTGTAGGCATTGCATTAGCATAAATTACCTTTCCAGGTAACAATCAGTCTAGAAAAATGATGACAATTGTTTTCTTCTCTCAAATGTTTGCAGATGTGTGGTGAAGGAGTTGATGCCATAGCTTGCTGTTCTTACCTGGGGCTGTTCAGCTGTATTTCTATTCTTTATCTTAACGATCGAAAATTTGTTGATTTTTAACTTTAACATTAAACCGTATAAATATGAAGGACTCTTTTACAATTTAAAAGTTATAGATATAATGCTTGTTATCTTCTGACTTTAAGAGATCATATAAGTTTTCGGACATGTACAAAATATTTTGATATGAGCTATCATAATTTTCATAGACAAAACTCAAGACTACATCTGGAAATTTGTTTATGAAGATATGGTGGCGATCATCTGATATTCTGGGGGGGGGGGGGGGGCAGAAGGATTTTTGCGACATTTTGTTTTGCAGAATATTAATTCCCATCCTGTCTCGTGCAAATTTACTTATTTTCAGTTAGTATTTATTTTCAGAATCCTCCTCTTTCGTTTTGTACAACAATCCATAAAGTTTTTCGAACTAAATCTGAAAACCGAATATTGTTTTAACAAAAAGAAGCCGTAAATACCAAAAAATCAAAACTACAACACGTTTATAATAAAATCAATCTAAGTAGAGAATATGATACACGTATGTTTCTGCATATTTTTTAATTTTACATTACATAGAAGAAGATGGACGCAAAAAATACCTTGGATGGTCACATGATTAGAAACAATATTGTATTTTGGTATTTAGCCTCACCATTCTGACCTACAAAAAATGGCGCTATTAGCAACATGTGCCAAGTCTGGAACATTTGCATTTTCAAAATTTTGTGTATTTAAACTTTATCCCTCTAGTTATAGCATTGGGTAAGACATGCATGGTGTTTCTTTTTACAAGAAGAACCGAATAACTGACACAACATGGCTTTTCAGCAAAATATCATATAGAGACAACTCTCACCTTACATCACCGGTTTCCAAATGTCGTTAAGAAATATTAATCAAATTATGCATTACATATTTAGGAAGATAGGTCTATTTTCTACTTTTTATGTTTATATTTCTCTGTACCTGCTCTCTGACAACTTGGATTATAATTAGCTTGGTCTATACCAAAAATTATCCATCTTACAAACATGGCATAAAACAAACCCAAAGACTATAAACTTGGATTTCTAGAAGAATTTTAGTATGACGAACGATGTTATTTGCTATATTTGAAATTTATTACCAGTCTTAATAATTAAATTAGTTTAATTTTTAACAGATTACTTTAAAGAATCATCATAAATAACATTTACAAGATAAAAAAAAAAAAGAAAATTAAGAATTATTAACAGCTAATATTGAAAAGTTACCACTTACATTTTTTCTTTTCTTTTTTTTGATTGTGTATCATATGCATGACTTATTGAATAAACAGGACCTGATAACATCTGAATACTGCCACCAGTATAGTAGACACCTTTTTAATTACCTTTAAATTAATTACTGGCACATGTACTGTTGACATTTTTGTATTCCCCTTTGAACTAATTACAGGCATATGTACTGTTGACACCATTTTTATCACCTTTAAACAAATTACTGGTATATGTATTTGTTGACACCTTTTCAATCACCCATAAAACTAAGTGAGAACATAACAATAATAGACTGTTTTCATTTTACCGACTTTTGACTCTGAAGTATATAGTTTTTCGAAAAGCATTTAAAAGAAGTAAAATCAAGCTTGCAATCTCCTATTTATGGAAAAAAAACTATAAGGCCAAAATAATTAAATTGTGTTTCCGATTTCCTGACCCTACCTCTGATTCCGACGCCGACCCTAAACTTCTTATTGATGATATGAAAAAAGAATAAAAAAAACGGATTTTTCGGTCTTTCCCCAGATCCGATTATTCGTTAAGAATACTATTAATCTTCAAAGCGTTTGATAATTTCGACTAATACACATAAGTAAAGCGTATCAAGAACCAGATTTGAATAAACTAGCATGGCTTGTCGTTACTGTGGAACCGTAGCTTGTAGGTCCTTATGATATTGTTTGACAATTCTGGACCATCCGCACAAATTAGAAAACATGATAAAGACCATTACAGTTACGGTTCCACAGCTAGTCTTGTCGCCATCCGTGCAGGTTATTAGCCATCAAATTATGCAAAATACGATCACATGTACGCAAAAAAATATAATGACATCGTTTCTAGATACTTATGAAATGTTGAACCTTTTTGAAGAACATCATGATGAACCTATAGATTAAACAAATATGAAGCTGGTATATTTTGCTCAACTTCTTTGGACCAAAAGTTAGAATCGTTCCCAAGGTTGGACAGACAGTATCTGTTGGTGAATTATAGACAAACTTATTTAGAGTGTAACATGTTCAATTTACTGCTAAAACCAATGCAGCTATTGTTGTAAAAAACACTCTTGCGAATGTTGTACAAAATTGTGCTCAAGACGCAGCATTAACGCCTGTCAATGACTTTGAGAAGTTGAGTTAATGATGACAGGAGGCAAACAACTGGTTGGGAACAAATGTTGTTTCTGCAAATAATATAAATATGTGCCCTTTAGCATGTTTAGTATTTTGAACTGTTTTTTTTTTTAAATATATTGTATATCACTTGAAATTTACCCCTCGTATAAGGGATACTCATTACATTGAGGGGTTCTTCCCAACCTGAACAATGTGTAACAAAAAAAGAGAAAAAGAAGCTTTCCACAGTAGGCAGACATGGTGTATGATTCATGTTCATTTATAAATGAATCTGCCCAGGCACCATGTCACTTTTATTCTTTTTATATTTTTCTCTGGCTGGTCCCATTAAAATTTATACAAGAAAAGGAAAAAAATCATGTATTTATATCAGCAATTTATTTGACCAGCATATTAAGAACAAGATTTAACATTCTCACTCATCAAAACCTGGAATTTTAATATTGTTAGAACCACCCACTCTTCCAAAATCACATTCTGTCTAACAGCAAAACACATCTTTATATGAGCTGATAGAAATCGACCTTATGCAAATGAATATCAATACATCTGACAACCATTTTTCGGAGTTGAAAAAATTTCTATGCAAAGTCTGTAACTGTTTGAAAATTGAGTTGATATAAGAACCCTACAAAATAGACCAAAATCCATCTTTTATTATGTATTTGAATGTTCCAAATTCAGTCAAAGTCTTACAAATGTACACATGCACTTGCTTAAAGTTGATTTCTATCCGACACAGGTCATATATCAAATAAAGAGGGTGCAAGGGTAGAGTATTACCCTCGAAACATCATAATCAACATCTTCTTAGCATTGGTTCACAATGCTATCGAGGGGTAATAATCTGCTCTCACACGTACCCTATGTGTCATATACATTGTTAAGTTCGACTAGGCCACACATAATAACATACCACGATTTTTCACTGCCATATTTGGTTTAAGATAATTGATTGGCAAGAACATATTCCGTATTTAGGCCCATGAAATGAATAAAATTTGCATTAAAGTTTATTGTCATATTTCTGACACAGAACTAAAACAGAAAATTAAAAATGCAGTCATTCCCAAGGTCCGTCAGACATGTGGCAATGTCCAGTAATAAATGGTTTGGTCCAGTAAAATGTCATCAATTACTGGACCAAATGACCAGTGTAGATTTAAGAATTTTGTAATACTCATAATTTAAAAGACTGCTAAAATGCTGAGTTGACCAGTAAAGCTTGAAGAATTACTGGAGAAAAGACCACTGTGGTCCCAAAAAACCTTCGGAACCTCTGAAATGCTATAGATTTAAGGTCTATTCTAAATATTAAAGAATCCGGCAAAGGGTGGCACTGATTTGGAACTTTTTTTTCTGCTGTCAACAATAAAAAAAAAAATGTTTTCATAAGATAAAACATTTTACCTACCTACCCTACCTAATTTGTTTGGAGGTGAAATAGGAAACACACTATTTATTTTGGCCTAAACAACAAATTCATCAGAAAATATTTGATTTTTCCTGAAATTGCACTGATTGTAAGCTTGATTTTACTTCTTTTAGTCACCTACAGTTTTCAAACCAGATCCTTGAAACTTTAAAGTGAATTTGTAAATGTAGTTGAAAAGAATTGATATGCTATGCCATATAACTGAATCTCTATGACACTATAATACCTACATGTACTGTGCAAATCACTTAACCAAAAAGTGCTCTTTCTTCTTGGCTTCATTTCTCACATTTACAGTGAGAACTTCAACAAGGAACGAAAGCTCACACCTGACTATGTTCAAAACAGAGGCTACCAATTATTTTTAACTACACTTGTGTATTGTCAGGTTGTGTAAAATGTTGTACAATTCTAAAATTCAAGGGAGATATGATTTACTGAATTATACTTTGCAATATATTGATTTATATATTATTTCTTTTCACAGGTTATGTATAAACAGAAACTATGTAACAAAGAAAGACAAGATTGATATTCACAGTCTGCCCAAGGCTCCAAAAAGACCAATGACATCTTATTTGGAATTCTATAAAAATCATTATAGTGAGATTGTAGAAAATAATAATCTTCAAACAGGTAGGCATTGACAGTAACATGAGTAAATAATGTTTTTATGCCTCTTAATGCCACAATGCATAGTTTTATCCATGTAAACAAATGTATAGCATTTCCTCATTTTGGAATAAAACAACTGTCCACACAATTAATTACATAATTCATTTAGCTTGATACAAATCATTTTCCATAATGAGAAGCAAACCTTCATTATCCATCAAATAAATCATTGATCTTATTGTGAATACATTTTCAAATCATTCAGTGATATCAAAAATGACCACCATTTGTTAGCATGTACAGTAGAAAACCAAAAAGATTTTTTTTTATTGATTTTGGCAGTGATGCTCCAATTTCAGAGTTACTTTATATATATTGTTGTCTAGACATCAACTGAGACTGCTAGTTCTGAACTTCAGATTTTATTGAACTAGCACAAAGAATTTGATTATAAAACATTGGAGGAAGGCTTTTTATTTGTACCTTAACCTACATTTTCAGTAAAAGTAATCTTCATTAAGAAAAATTAAATAATAGACAATAGGGAAGACATCTTAGAATAAGGGTTTTAACAGTTAAGTAATCTTAAGCAGACATGTTTTAGGGAAGTTTTAGAATTTATAATAGCTTATTTAATAAGTGTTAGATTCTGGATGAGGTATGTTGACGTGGTAATCCAATATTGTTTGTTTCTTCAGACATGCGTATCAGCCACATGTTAAATCAGTAGAATTTTAAACCAGATCTTTATAATCTTTTTGAATATATTGTCCATGATTATTGTCAGGTAATGATTGATGTATGATTCTTCCACTATGTAAGTATTGGACAGTTACAAAATGAATTCACGGACAGCAATCGTTTCAGATGGAGAAAATAGCTCTTAAGGACCAGTCAGATGAAACATCATTGATAGAACTAAAATGATTGAATGATGAATTCTAATTTCTACACATTGCTATTTTTAAGACAAAAAGAAAGCATCAAAAGCTGTACAGATATGTAGTGGTATGTGGGAATCTTTAGACGATGTTACAAGGAAGGTAAAATAGAATTACTGCATGTATTTGATCCTATGAACAAAATAAATCTTGATATTTTTAACTCAATTACATTAGCATCAAAATACTTTTTCTTATTTTCAAGATTTTGAAGCCTCACTGCCTAAGTTGTACTTGTTAGATTTAGAGTAGATGTATTGTTCGAATGTTGTGTAATGTTAAGTTTGATGGTCAAGTGAGTTTAGAAAAACTCACAAAGAGGTATCCACTCCCATATACATGTACAAAATGAATATGCAGTAGCATGTCATGTCTTGCATGTCAACATTTATGTGCAGTCTGTGTTAAGTTTTATAAAACATCAATAGCTTTGTCAAAACTACATGTAATTTTATTATAAAAAAAATGGACAAAAGGTTCTTCATGATTAAGAAATAGCGTTTGAAGAAAAGGTTTAATTTTTATACGCCCGTTTACGGGGCGTATTATGGTATACCGCTGTCTGTCTGTCCGTCCGTCTGTCCGTCCGTCAGTTGTCAACATGTTGGACATTAATTCAAAAACACTATAACCAATATGCATTAAACTTTGGTGAATTGTTTATATCTATTGACGTGAGCTCCCTTTCGTTTTTTATAAATTTCGTATATACTGTTTCCGAGTTTTGAGGTTTTTTTCATTAAAAAAGGGAGGATTTTCCAGCTTTCGGACAATAACTCAAAAACAATTTCACCAATTTGCATGAAACTTTTGTGAATTGCTTATATCTATTGACCTGAGTTCCCTTTCGTTTTTTATAAATTTCGGATTTACCGTTTCCGAGTTTTGGGGTTTTATTCATTAAAAAAGGGGGGATTTTCCAGTTTTCGGACAATAACTCAAAAACAATTTCACCAATTTGCATGAAACGTTGTGAATTGTTTATATCTATTGACGTGAGCTCCCTTTCGTTTATTATAAATTTCGAATTTACCGTTTCCGATTTATGGGGTTTTATTCATTACAAAAAGGGGGATTTTCCAGTTTTCGTACAATAACTCAAACTTTGGTAAATTGTTTATATCTATTTTTGTAAGCTCCCTTTTGATTTTTATAAATTTTCGAATTTAGGTTTCCGAGTTATAAGATTTTATTTGTTTATAGTCTGACAACAGATTTACTAAGCATTGCACAACAGCACAGTGTATTGCACAACAGCAAGAAATCTTTAATTGAATATAAATTCAATTCATATAACCAATTTCGAGTTCTTTGACTACATTTATTCAGAAACCTATAATATGTCAAATATTGAATTACAATCCAAATTCAGACCTCTATCAAGCTTGAATATTGTGTCCATTTTTGCCCCAACTGTTCAGGGTTGGACCTCTGCGGGCGTATCCAGCTGCGCTCAGCGAAGCAGTTTATTATATTTTGCGGTCGTATATTGGTATGACGTTGGCGTCGTCTGAAGACACATTGGTTTTCGCACTTTAACTTTAGTTTAAGTGAATGGATCTCTATGAAATTTTACCATAAGGTTCAATACCACAAAAGGAAGGTTGGGATTGATTTTGGGGGTTATGTACCAACAGTTAAGGAATAAGGGGCAAAAAAGGGGCCAAAAATAAGCATTTTTGTAACTTCCAGACATAAGTTGTGTGTTAGTGTATGGATCTCTCTGACATTGTACCACAAGGTTCCATATCACAAAGGGAATGCTGGGATTGATTTTTGGGGTAATTGCCTCAAAATATTAGTAAATTAGGGGCAAAAAAAAGGTGCAAAAAACAAGCATTTTTCTAGTTTCATAACAATAACTTGTGTGTAAGTGTATGGATCTTTCTGAAATTGTACTACAAGGTTCCATATCCCATAGGGAAAGCTGGAATTGAGTTTGGGGGTAATTGCTCAAAACATTTAGGAATAAGGGGCCAAAAATAAGCATTTTTCTAGTTTCCAGACAATAACTTGTGTTCAAGTGTATGGATCTCTCTGAAATTGTACTGCAAGGTACCATACCACAAAGGGAAGGCTGGGATTGATGTTGGTGGTAATTGCCTCAAAATTTTAGGAATTAGGGGCCAAAAAGGGGCAAAAAACAAGCATTTTTCTAGTTTCAGGACAATAACTTGTGCGTAAGTGTATGGATCTTTCTGAAATTGTACTACAAGGTTCCATATCACATAGGGAAAGCTGGAATTAAGTTTGGGGGTAATTGCCCAAAACGTTTAGGAATAAGGGGCCAAAAATAAGCTTTTTTCTAGTTTCCAGACAATAACTTGTGTTCAAGTGTATGGATCTCTCTGAAATTGTACTGCAAGGTACCATACCACAAAGAGAAGGCTGGGATTGATGTTAGTGGGAATTTGCCTCAAAATTTTAGGAATTAGGGGCCAAAAAGGGGCAAAAAACAAGCATTTTTCTAGTTTCAGGACAATAACTTGTGTGTAAGTGTATGTATCTTTATGAAATTGTACTACAAGGTTCCATATCACAAAGGGAAAGCTTGGTTTGAGTTTGGGGGTAATTGCCCTAAATGTTTAGGAATTTGGGGCCAAAAAGGGGCCAAAAAACAAGCATTTTTCTAGTTTCCAGACAATAACTTGTGTTCAAGTGTATGGATCTCTCTGAAATTGTACTGCAAGGTACCATACCACAAAGGGAAGGCTGGGATTGAGTTTAGGGGTGATGAATCATAAGGGGGTTCAAAAAATTGGGGGGGGATTTTTTTTTCCTTTTTTTCTTTTTTTTTTTCTTTAAAATTTTCCATTTTAAATTGGTTATTTCTGATTTATATATAAAAGCAAATAATAATGATATGGTTTGAATAGGTAAATTAAAATTTTTTAAGTTCTTAGACCACATTCATTCTGTGTCAGAAACCTATGCTGTGTCAAATATTTAATCACAATCCAAATTCAGTGCTGTATCAAGCTTGAATGTTGTGTCCATACTTGCCCCAACTGTTCAGGGTTCGACCTCTGCGGTCATATCAAGCTGCGCCCAGCAGAGCATTTTATTAAGTTTATTTTCTATATTTTACTGATAAATGGACTTATCTTATTGTAGTCAACATTACAGCAGCAATTGGAGGAGAGACACAGGGTTCTTTTTTGTTTACAAATTTATTTTAAAACTTACGAATTTACTGTAAAGCAAGCAAAATATTTTTTAATGTCAGCATTTTTATTTGGTCTTTTGATATTTAAAGGGGTATCAAGACCGTGCAAAGGTAAGATTAGAAGCTTATAAGGAGGAAATGCAAAAGTTCAAAGATAGTCTTACTGCTGAACAAAAGGAATTACTGAAGGAAGCAAAGAGACAGAAAAGAGAAGAAAAGGTGAAAAAGAAGGAGAAAAAAGAAGAAAAACATGTATGCATTATAAACATTTAAATAGAGATTAATTGCCTCAGACCCATCTGTCCATCTCCATTATAAAAATGTTAGCAGAAAATATTCCCACATGGTTATATTACAATTACTTACAGATTAATGCTAATTATATAATTATACTACCACTAACTGGAGTTGGGATATAGAGGGATACTAGAAAAAACTGGGTTCGTGTTTCTCAAACTGTTTTTATGCACTGATGCATTATGTTGATAGTTTTTATTAGTTTGTCAGTTCTTCTTCCATAGGAGTTTGAATGTCCAATTAGTAGCTTCTGTCTCTGTGTTACACAGGTGCTCCTAGAACGGAGGAAATAACTCAGAGAAGAAGAAGACAACCTAGAACACTGATGATTAAAACATTTCTCAGTGGTGCTAGTTTGTAGTATTTCTTTTTTTTCGAAAGGTGCGAGTCAAGTTCTGTCTCTGTGTGATACGGGTGCTCCAAGAACGGAGGAAATAACTAAGAGAAGACAATCTAGAACTCTGATGATTTAAAACATTTTTCATTGGTGCAAGTTTGTAGTATTTTTATGCCCCCGCCGAAGCGGAGGGGGCATTAAGTTTTACCCTTGTCCGTCTGTCCTGTCCGTATGTACGTACACGTACCGTACGTCCCAAAATTGGTTTCCGTTCTCTAACTTATGTTTGCCTCGACCAAATGTTATCACACTTATACACAATGCTTATTACCACAAAACACAGATCAAGTTTGAATTTTGGTGGCGTCACTTTAACCGTTCTTGAGTTATGCCCCTTTATGAATGGAAAAATTGCAAAATTTTTCATTTCCGTTCTCTAACTTAAGTTTGCCTCAACCAAATGTTAGTTGTGTGAATTTAAGAGCTATAATCAGAGTTAATAGTTAAAAATTGTAAATCATTGACACTTATTTACACATTAGTAAAATCTGATATCTGAAATTGTTGAGAAAGCAAGTTTTCTTTCATACTGAAAAATAATGTTACAAAACCACCAGAAACATAAGAATGTTTTGGATGTTCACACTTCTTATGCCTTTAACATCTAGTTTCTGTGTATTAAAGTTCCAAGGAAAAGTTTAGGATATGGTGTTCATGACACAAAATCACTACAATAACATACACTTGACGAAACAATGCTTTTCATTTCAACGTCAGTGAAGCCTTTAACACCTCACTCTAAGTTCAATACAGCCGCCTGGCACTGATTAGAACTGAATTCTTTACTTGATGTCAGTCATGCTACATCTGTGTACAGCTGCAATGTTATATCCACAAATTTTAAAATCTAAAAAATACTGTAATTCATAAATTGTCATACATGAATTGTCTAACAATCTAATTGCAAAACACAGAAACAGTACAAACACTTAGACATTCACAGACCACACCAAAATATATGTTCAATAACTTGATAGCAATCATTCATAAAACCCCATTTAATTTGGGTGTACTGCATAGCAGTTGCTATTCCTAAACAAATTTTGCCGAAATAGAAAATAATGAACTAGTATAAATACATTGGGATTTTTGATAAAGAGAAAAATAAAGGTAGAAAAAAAATATATTTAATTCTTTATGCATATAATGCAATCAAATTCTAAAATGCTGTTTATTGAGTTTTTTTTGCACTAATAAACTATACAAATATTTTGTCTTACCAGTAAAACAGATTTTGCCATCATCAAAGCCATAATTAATGGCAGCAACTCTTGATGTTTCACAGATGATTCCATTCTGCTATTTAGATAAAATTCTATTATTGGTCATCTGGATTTTTCCATTATAATTTCTTTATAATACAAGGTAATTGGCATTTGAAACAGCTATTTATAGTTACTTCAAATTTTGATTATAAATTTATTTCTTATTTCAGAAGAATGTAGAGCATGGATTACCTAAGAGACCTTTATCGTCATACATGTGTTTTGTGAATAGTAAAATGCCAAATCCATATTCAGATAAGTCTGCTACAGTAAGTATTGACAACAACACCATCTTTAATGCTTTTTTACTTGTAACAACTCTTAATGAAGAGGATGCTGTGAAGAATGAATTAATACAAAGCCATGTCTGAATTGGGAGATTGATAGTTAATTCAAATGGCAATGACTCTCATTAAAAGGGGAGTTAGGCACACTTTAGGTATAAAACCACTAATTCATAGCCCCATTGCTTTCTATGTTAAATTCTGCAATTTCAAGCATAAATGGCTACTTTGTCTTAAGTTCAAATAAAGTGGCAGTTATTTCATGTCAAAACTGTACCTTATGCTGACTTGTGCTGAAAAAATCAACATACCTTTAATTGCATATTAGAGCGTACTGGTTCCTGGAAGTTTGATAGTACAAAAACAGGAACTTCTGATCTGAACAACAGGCCAAATGAGCCCTCCTATTAAAATTTCATATACTTCTTTATTATTCAAATAAAACTTTCAACAAGGGTTCTACAGTGATCCCAAGTCCCCAAGCTTTCATTTGATTTGATACTAAAACTACCCAAATATTCCCACTATTGACAAAGATACAGCTATGCGTAGGAACTATTTTGTTTAAAATATGTACTACTTTCTTGTATGTTCTTTCCGACCAGGCCTGAATTAGTGGTTCTATACCTTTAAGACTTGAGCAACTCACTAGTTATACTTGAAAGTGCTGGTACACATGAACCAAGTCATAGCTATAACATTCAATTTCTAATTGTTCACATAGCCAGTACATATGGATATTGATTTATTTGATATGCTTTTATTACTAGAAATAATTTGTAAATTTATTAAAATTTAGACACTTTGTAAAATGAGCATTTTGTAGATGATAGTCATACACTAGAATATTACAAATTTGAATAAAAGTAGATGTGGGGTATGCTAGACAGCAACCCACAAAAACTGGAAAAAAAGACGTGGTCAACATACAATAAGACCATTAGTCTGTATCTGACTATGGAAACATATTACAAAATCTTGTAATGAATAAAGAAAAAGGTGACAGCAGAAAAATCTGTAGTTAATCATTCTAGTTAAAGCTCATTCTAGGTTTGATAGAAATTAACTTGTGGAACTTGGTCTTTAATTTTGGAAATTCATGCATATGAAGAATATTAATGAATTGCAATGTTTCATTCATATTGATGTGTGTGTATTATTTACTAATAATGACCTAGAAATATCTCAGTTGGCAACATTTTAATGGAATTGATGATATGGCTAGTTTCCGAGTAGTAGTTATACGACCGCAAAAAAATTTTTGCGTCATATAATGCTATGATGTCGTCGTCGTCCGAAGACACATTTGGTTTCCAGACAATAACTTTAGTTTAAGTGAATGGATCTCTATGAATTTTTACCAGAAGGTTCAATACCACAAACGGAAGGTTGGGATTGATTTTGTGGGTGATGGTACCAACAGTGTAGGAATTAGGGGCCAAAAAACAAGCATTTTTGTAGTTTCCGGACAATAATTTGTGTGTAAGTGTATGGATCTCTGTGAAATTGTACCACAAGGTTCCATATCACAAAGGGAAGGCTGGGATTGAGTTTGGGGTTAATTGCCCCAAACGTTCAGGAATTAGGGGCAAAAAAGGGGCCGAGAACAAGCATTTTTGTAGTTTCGGGACAATAATTTGTGTTTAAGTGTATGGATCTCTTTAAAATTGAACTACAAGGTTCCATACCATAAAGGGAAGGCTGGGATTGAGTTTGGGGGTAATTACTCCAAAAGGGGGGGGGGGGGTTCAAAAAGTTGGGGGGATTTTTTTTTTCCCAATTTTTTTCGGGGGTTTCATTTTTTTTCTTCAAAATATTTGAAATTTCAAATTTTTGAAATCTTCAGTTGCACAGTATTGCGCAATAGCAAGAAATCTTCATTTGCACAGTATTGCGCAATAGCAAGAAATCTTCAATTGCACAGTATTGCGCAATAGCACAGTATTGGGCAAAAGCAAGAAATCTTCAATTGCACAGTATTGTGCAATTGCACAGTATTGCGCAATTGCACAGTATTGTGCAATAGCACAGTATTGTGCAATATCACAGTATTGCACAATAGCACAGTATTGCACAATAGCACAGTATTGCGCAATAGCAAGAAATCTTCAACTGCACAGTATTGCGCAATAGCAAGAAATCTTCAATTGCACAGTATTGTGCAATATCACAGCATTGCACAATAGCAAGAAATCTTCAACTACACAGTATTGCGCAATAGCAAGAAATCTTCAATTGCACAGTATTGCGCAATAGCAAAAAATCTTCAATTGCACAGTATTGGGCAACAACACAGTATTGCGCAATAGCAAGAATCTTCAGTTGCACAGTATTGCACAATAGCAAGAAATCTACAATTGCACAGTATTGCACAATAGCAAGAAATCTTCAATTGAAAACAAATAACAAATTTTTTAACCAATTTTGATGGGATTAATTAAGTCTTAATTTTTGGGGGTTCTAACCTTGTATAATTTTTTTGGATATTGGGCCCCATTTTTAAATTGGTCTACATTGAGGTCAAAAGGGTCCAAAATTAAACTTTGTTTGATTTCAACTAAAATTAAATTATTGGTGTTTTTTTATATGCTGAATCTAACCATGTTGTTAGATTTTGGATATCAGACCATTCTAGGTAAATTAAATGTCCCTTTTCAAATTTTTAAGATCTTGACCACATTTATTTTGTGTCAGAAACCTATATTATGTCAAAAATTTGATCACAATCCAAATTCAGACAGTATCAAGCTTGAATATTGTGTCCAAACTTGCCCCAACTGTTCAGGGTTCGACCTCTGCGGTCGCATCAGGCTCCGCTCAGCGAAGCATTTTATTATGTTTTGTATTTATACTAATTGTTAATATATTTTCTGTAATGAGGCAAATCTTTGAAGACAGGTCACACAATTCCTGCCACAAAAATATAATGCAAATACATTCTATGTACATGTACATTGTCAAACAGTTGCTTAAAGCTGCAAAATGCAATTTAAACAATTATTTGTTATATCTGAACAGGTTTCATGGAACTATGCTAGTAGAACATGAAACAATTGTGTCTTTGTGCTTCTAAACTTTTTTGTGTTAAAATTATTTCTACAATATGGAAAAAAATGTATGATACTTGACATTTGATCCTTTTCCATTGAAAAAAGATTAATGCTTCTATTCTTTTTAAGGAATATGTGCAAATGCTAGGACATGAGTGGAGAGAATTGTCTAAAGAAGATAAGCAGGTAAAATATGAAAGAAAAATGAAAGTCATAATTATATTATCGGAACACATATCACACTTTTGACTTAGACAGACATAGATTATTTTCTGTCCCTCTTCTCAATAAATACAGATAAGAACATGAAATTTGTATTCTCTATTTAATCAGCTTTTTAAATGACAAGGAATGATAGACATTCAAATTATAGTTATGTGAATTGACTATAGATCTCTGACTGAAAAAGAAAGGATTTCATTATACATGACTGAACTTATTTACAGATTGATGTTAAGACTGTTTTTATGCCCCCGCCGTAGCGGAGGGGGCATTAAGTTTTACCCTTGTCCGTCTGTACATACGTACGTCCCAAAATTGGTTTCCGTTCTCTAACTTTAGTTTGCCTGAACCAAATGTTATGAAACTTATACACAATGCTTATTACCACAAAACACAGATCAAGTTCGAATTTTGGTGGCATCACTTTAACCGTTCTAGAGTTATGCCCCTTTACAAATGAAAAAATTGCTAAATTTTTTGTTTACGTTCTCTATCTTCAGTTTGCTTCAACCAAATGTTATGTAACTTATACACAATGCTTATTACCACAAAACACAGATCAAGTATGAATTTTGGTGGCGTCACTTTTGCTGTTCTAGAGTTATGCCCTCTACAAATGGAAAAACTGCTGAATTTTTCGTTTCCATTCTCTTACTTTAGTTTGCCTCAACCAAATGTTATGAAACTTATACACAATGCTAATTACCACAAAACACAGATCAAGTTCGAATTTTGGTGGCGTCATTTTTGCTGTTCTAGAGTTATGCCCCTCTATAAATGGAAAAATTGCTGAATTTTTCGTTTCTGTTCTCTTACTTTAGTTTGCCTCAACCAAATGTTATGAAACATAAACATTGCTTATTACCACAAACTCAGATCAAGTACAAATTTGGGTAGCGTCACTTTTACAGTTCTTGAGTTATATCCCTTTATAACATTATATGCAAGTGAAGGCATCATCTGTGTCCCATGGACACATTCCCCATTTATTTTATCTTTCTTTTTCTATTCAACTGCAACACAGAATTGCATGTGTCAAATCTCCATGTGTCATGAGAAGTCCCAATATTTCTATTTAAATTTTAAATTCCTTGGAAAACATGTCACCTGTTTTATTATTGAAATGGTGTTTTGGTGTTTTATACACAATATATAAATTAGAATTTTCTAAAAAGTTAAAGATAAATAAAAAATTTATATAATGGTTATTGGGATCTAAAAAAGTGCAAACCTCTTTTAGAAATTTTTCTAGAAATACCCCGTTTATAGGTTTGAAAAGTTGACACGTTGTTACCATTGATGTAAACATACAGGAATAACAAAAACATTTTTGATCTTTTTTCTTGCATTTGACTGCTGTTTTTGAATTTACCCATAAGTGTTCACAAAATAATTAAATTCCAACAATTCTTTACTCAATCATTTTTTCAGTCTTTTGAAGAACTTGCTGCTGAAGCTAGGGAAGAATACAACCTGAAGATGACACAATGGGTTGAAAATATGGTTGAACAAGGAGATGGATCAGATGTAAAAGTGTCATTATTGCAAAAGGTAAAATAAATCCTTTTAAGCTGTAGTCCATTAAAGAATCAGACAGTTTTGAGAATACAATGAAATCAGATGAGTTAGACAATCAGTACCAATCAAATTTTTGTCCCTTTTAAATATCATTTATATTGAAAATGGCATGAAAGCATTCTCAGGCCTTCATTTCTTATGCATTACTTATGATATTTATATCAAAAGTATACATCAGCAAGGCAATGTATGAGGTTGATAGTCTGCGCCATTTAACTATTTTTGCAGGAATTATGCACCTTGGAAAAAGAAATTTTATGGGAAATTGCTTTGTAAGCATTCTCACACCAGCATTTTTAGTAGAATATGTATGAAATGTATTATATAGTAGTTATTGCCATTGGAAGAATAAGATAATGGAACACTGTCCCTACACATATTATTTATACATTGAACATGTGTATTTTAGACACCTAATAAAAAATGGCAAATATGAATTATACATTTGTTGTGCTTTATATGTATGTCAGATTGCATGTGTGTTTGGTAAATTTATTTTGAGACATATGACAAGTGTTCATGAATGACTGTCTGAAGACAACCTTATTCAATTGATTGATTGCCTTGACAACCTTTGATAAGTTGTAGCTGAATTGGGATATATAAGGAAATCCCTTAAGATTTGGCCTCCATTTCAAATGTATGAAGTTTATTCCTAAGCTTTATAATGAGAACTGTAGAAATCCTAAGTTTCACAAATTTTAGATATTTTTGTTATTGCAGGAATTAGAAAAACTAGAAGTTCCAAAGAAAAATACCAGTGGTTACCAAATATACCGACACCATCACAAGGAGGTAAATAGTTTAATTAAATAACTAGTTCTGCCTATATGTACAATCAGTTATAGAAGTGTTGTTAACATACAGATTTACAAGGAAAGAGAAAGGTAACAAAGTTTATTATTAAACAATATATTGTAAAAGAGGGTTAAACAAACCCATCTGATCACCCTCATATTATCTAATTGTTTTTTTTTTATTTCATTGAGTAGACATTTGATCTGTGCTTAATTTATGTGGATCTATGTATAAATATATTTCCTGTTAGCAGAAGGTGATAAACTTTGAATGTCTAAGAAATCTAGATTCTACCAATTTATCATGTGATGTATGATATTTCTCCTCATCAGACAGTCTCACTTTGAAGTAGAGAAATATCATATTGCATGAGATCCTGTGGGGAATCTGTTTATCTTTATACTTTATTCTTTTATTTTTAGGGACCACTATGGAGTACATTATCAGATGAAGAGAAGGAGGTAATAATTATTATTATAAGATATTTCTCTTTTCGTACTTGTTAAAAATATGATTTAAGAAACAATGTGATATACAGGTAAACACTTTTTATATTGGTGGCATAACATTAAACACTTTCAAAAAAACTGTAAATGATAGATTCTTCAAATCTTTGATAGTATTTTATTATTTGTATGTTTATTCTGACTGCTGCATGGTTGACAGCTTTTTGTCCACCGCACAAAGTGTTGAGGGGGACATAAAAATGCCAGGCGACCATCTGTCCGTCCAGTCTTGCTATCACTCTCACCTGTACAATTCTTGCCAGATTTGCATGAAACTTATATCATAGGTTTATATCAGCCATGTCTTGGACAAGTTCAAAAATCAGTGCCAATCAATAATTTTTAAAAGAGTAATGCCCCATGGAAACATTAATTATATGGAAAATTGCATCGTTAGTGCTCTCGTTGGTACAATTCTTGCTAGATTTTTATGAAACTTATATCATAGGTTAATATTAGCAATGTCTTGGACGAGTTTGAAAAACAGTCCCGATCAATTATTTTTAAAAGAGTTGTGCCTCTTGGAAACATTAATTATATGGAAAATTGCATTGTTCGCACTTTCATGTGTTCAATTCTTGCCAGATTTTTATAAAACTTATATCATAGGTTTACATCAGGAATATCTTTGACGAGTTTGAAAATCAGTGCCGATCAATTATTTTTAAAAGAGTTATGTCCCTTGGAAACATTAATTATGTGGAAAATTGCATTGTAAGTGCTCTCATGTGTACAATTATTGCCAGAATTTTATGAAACTTATATCATAGGTTTATATCAGCAATGATTTTGACACTTTCTAAAATACATGCTGATCAAACAGTTTTAATGAGTTATGCCCCTTGGAAATTTTAATTATAATGGAAATCACATTGCATTTGCTCTGAAGCCTTCATTTATCTAAGATATTAATAAAGAGTTTTAGAGAACAAAAAAAAAGGGCTTTTAGTCGAGCCTTCGACTTTTGTCGAAAAAGCGAGACATAGCGATCCTACATTCCGTCGGCGGCGTCCACAAATATTCACTCTGTGGTTAAAGTTTTTGAAATTTTAATAACTTTCTTAAACTATCCTGGATTTCTACCAAACTTGGACAGAAGCTTGTTTATGATCATAAGATAGTATCCAGAAGTAAATTTTGTAAAAATAAAATTCCATTTTGTCCGTATTTTACTTATAAATGGACTTAGTTTTTCTGCCGGTAAATATTACATTCACTCTGTGGTTAAAGTTTTTAAAATTTTAATAACTTTCTTTAAACTATCCTGGGTTTGTACCAAACTTGGACAGCAGCTTGTTTATGATCATAAGATAGTATCTAGAAGTAAATTTTATAAAAAAATAAATCCATTTTTTCCTTATTTTACTTTTAAATGGACTTAGATTTTCTGCCAGAAAACAACACATTCACTCTGTGGTTAAAGTTTTTAAAATTTTAATAACTTTCTTATACTATTTTGGATTTGTACCAAACTTGGACAGAAGCTTGTTTATGATCAAAAGCTAGTATCTAGAAGGAAATTTTGTAAAAAAATAAATCCATTTTTTCCGTATTTTACTTTTAAATGGACTTAGATTTTCTGCCAGGAAACAACATATTCACTCTGTGGTTAAAGTTTTTAAAATTTTAATAACTTTCTTATACTATTTTGGATTTGTACCAAACTTGGACAGAAGCTTGTTTATGATCAAATGCTTGGAAATTTTGTTTTCTTCCAGTTAACATTACATTCAGTCTGCAGTTAAAGTTTTTAAACATTTATTAGATTCATAAACTATCCTGGAATTTTACCAAACTTGGACAGAAGCTTCTTACAATCAAAAGATAGTATCAAGAGGAATATTTTTATTGATTTACTTCCTCATTTTTGTTGAGCCTGCGATTAACAGAAAAAGTAGGCGAGACACTGGGTTCCGCGGAACCCTTACGAATTTTTTTTAGTTATTGCCCTTGTACCTTGGAAAGATAAAATATGTGCAATGCCGGGGACATTGGAACTCTGTTCTTTTATTGAGTTAATATTTACCATCTTTTATCCTCAAATAAGTCCCTTAGCTTTTCAGGCTGCTGCCAACAGTGTCCATGCCATAACATATGAACCCTTCTTCCAATGGGTTTCAAATTATCATATGTTGTTACTGATGACAAAATGAAGGTCTAGTTTGATATTGACAATTTCACTTTTACCGTTTAGGAGTTATGGTCCTTGATCTATTGGAAAATGGTGCTTTATGTCGTTTCCGAACAATTAGTTATGACCCACTTGACCAATGGTTTTCAAATAATGTTGTTACGGATGACAAAATGGAGGTCAAGTTGGATATTGATGATTTTCAATTTTTGCAGCTCATTGTTTTATTTTGGTTTGGAAAAATAAGCCATATTTAATGAAACTAGAGTTTAATTAGTTCTGTATTGATGTTTATTCATCAAGATTAATAAAAATTGAAAGGTTTGAATTCACCGAAAAATTAGTTTATTTCTGCCACATGTTCATGTGCCTGTCGAAAGTCCGGAATCATATATGGTGGTCATCAGTTATATCTAAATACATTTTATTTTTTACTGAGTTTGATGTTAATCCAAAATCTCTGGTTTTGTTTATTGAAATTATTTACAACTTTTCTAGACTTGGGAGAATTTAAAATTTGACTTGTCTATTGTTCAAGAGGTAAAGTGTACTTTGACGTTTTTTTTTTATTTGGCTTCTTTTGTTTTGTTTTGTTACTGACATAGTACCCCACATCTCCCTTTATTGATGTGAGGCTATAATCAAACAAGATTTCCTATTGATATGCAACTCCGTCTGATTCTACATTCACCTCAAGAGTATAGAGTCGGGTAGTACACAGACAAAATGGAAGGGTATATAAAGCAAAAACAAATATTAATAAGTTTTTCTTGTAGAAATGGGTCAAAAAGGCAGTAAAAGATCTACATCGCTACGAAAAAGAAATGGAAGAATGGTACCAAAAGATTGAAGATAAGGGAAAAACTGACTTTGTGGAAGAGATGTTTGAGCTGATTAAAGCAAATAAAAAGAAACCAACGAAAAAATAATCGGCAAAATTTGAAAAAGCTAAAGTGAAGCCCAAGAATCCAAAGACTGAATTGAAAGAGAGTTGATAAAGGTGCGAAATATCATTGTATTCGTTGATCTGGAAAGTCAGGAAAAATGTTCAGTATAAGATGAATGTAGAATTGATTACTTCCACAATTTGTTGTTGTTATCAATTGGTTACTGTTTATATTTTTAATGTAGAACCAAACCACTTGTGGTCATAAGATGGTCTTTTACTTCCCTGATTGTAACCATCAAGCAGCATTATTGTCATGGGAAATAATAGTAACCTTCTTTGGAAGTTCTTATAATTGATAACATGTATGCAAGTTGAAGTCAGATCACCATTCATTTCAGTCTGGAATATGATGCCAGTAAGCACAAACACAAACATAGATGAAAGTTAGGTTGTAACATAGCTTCTTATAATTAAGTGAGTTATGACTGATTCAAATGCAGTGATATTGAAATTTGTGTGTATTGAGGTGAATTTGTATATCAAATGAAAAGATTTTCCTATCAATATTTTATATTATGTTCCTATATACATGAATATATGCTATATATTGAATCCTTAGGATGTTGACATAAGAGAGGGTGTGATAGGATATGTTTAGCCCATCATTGAAAAACAACTGGAACATATTAAAAAATATAATTGATTTGTCAAGTTTGTTACAAAAATGCTTTTATATTTATGTGCTTAAATGTTGATCTATAATTATCAATCATTTCACTTGTGTGCAAATGATAAAATTGAGAATTGACTCTCTTTTAGAATTGAGAACTTCATTTTTGAATTGACATTATCATTTTAAAATATGAAGGTTCTTATATTGTTTTCCACAGATTCATATATATCGGGAAATGGATGCATCATTGTTTTTGGGAGGGAGGGGTTTTACTAATAAAAGGGCAATTAAATAATTTTATCTTACCTCCTCCTATATAGGAAAGATTTGCTGTTATTTTTGTTTTATTATATCTCCTATATAGGAAAGATTTGCTGTTATTTGTGTATTATTATATCTCATAAAGTGTTTGTTATATTGTATGTTTTGACCTGTATTTTTACTGTATGGAGGTCATTGGAGGAATTAACATCATGTGTGTTCATTTTGAGTTATGGATATTGAGTTTATGCTTCCAGTGGTGTTTGTCTATTGTTTCATTTTAACTGGAGGTGTACAACACTCTTAACAGGATAGAAATAATGTGAATGGTCGTATAATGGTTTACAGTAATTGTCTGGCAGTTCAGGATTACAACTACATGAATTGGTCTGAAAATTGAGGAAAATGAATGTAAGGTAGTCCAGGATTATAATTTATATATAGTCCATAACAAATTAATTTTAATGGTCAAGTGAATTAACACCTGACGGTAAAAGCTGGTAGAGTTATCAAGATGGATAATGAGGTATACTGCTATTGTCTTAAAACCTAAAAAATTTAAACAATAAAAACAGTCTACAATATCCTGGTTACCCCAAGGAAATTATTTTATTTTGTCGACATGTTTCATGACTTAAGAATGGCGTCTTCAGTCTGAAAATTGTCAGAAATGAGGCAGTTAAGGACTGATTACTTAAATGGTCTGAAAATTGGTGAAGATTGTGTGGTGTTTGTAGAATTTATGGTACTCATTTGATAATCATGTTAGTGTTATAGTAGAATATACAACAACATTATATCTTGTAACTTGCAGTAAGAAGTCACATGATTTTAAAGATGGGACTGAATTAAGATATAAGTACTAAGAAATATAAAATTGTGAAGATATTGAATTGTAAAAAGATCTAATTGATATTGAAATGCTATTTGCATGCTGTCCGAAAGATTATTTATATTATTACATTAGAATTTATATTAATTTTTATTATTAATAGATATAGCATTCAACTAAAGGCTATTAGTCCTATGTATTTACTTTGACCAAATATGTGTTCATAATAGATCTGGATATTAAACCTGTCTTTTAGACAAGTGTTTGTTACTGTACAGAGCATATAAAATTCTAGATGGAGAATATATTTATGACCACTTTTTATAAAACTACCTGTTACAATTTTGTTTTTTGTATACTTGTAGCTATAGCATAAAATGGTCAACACATATAGACCACTCTCCATCATGTCGCATATTGGATTGTCATTACAATTTTTCCATCAATTACTCTGAAAAAAAAAAAGAGTGCAGCGAAACTGTCAACTACTCAGAATTTGTTTTATATTTCCTGATTTTTTCCTTGTGTGAAAGAAGGGATTGATTTTCCTCTATTCGCAGGAGATGTATGTTCTAGAATTACATTCAGGTTCATTCAATTTAGGTTATTATTACCGGTGATAGTTTCTAAAAAAGAAATATGAATATGCAGTAAGTAGATGTTTAAACATGGTGAATCCCTAGCAGTATTAAACTTTTCTGATTCTTTTAAAACACAATTTGATGATACTGTCTGCCTTACCACATAAAACTTTAATTACCTAAGAATTCTACAGGAACTCATATAAAAAAGCCCTAAGTATTTTATAATAATGTTTATGGCATAATCAGTTGACTCTCGTTATCTCGAAGCCAGCCGGACCAGAGAAATATTTCAAGATACCCGTAGTTTGACTCAAACGAAAACAGGAAGTTTGACAGACCAAGGGACACAACTCTTGCTTAGCATGGTAAAGCTAAAATAAATCCGGATGAATATGGGAAGAGGAATCCATATTCTGGTCTTATATCGATGTATTTGTATGTTATGGTCTTTCATTATTATAATAATTTTTTTTCTCACTTATTTATTTCTTTGAATAGTTACAATTTTTCCCTGTGGCTTTTAGCTGAGAGAGTAATTTCCAATCGATCTTAGTGTTATTTTTAAAGTTATTTAAAGTTGACAAAATTGATCATTCTCGTATACAAGAGATTTTAAAAAAATTAGATTTCTTTTCATTTTCTTTTATCTCAATCTTTTTTTCAAACGAAAAATACAAAAAGATTAAAGACACCAATTGAGTAGTTTTTGTGTGATTCCCAAGGTAAGTCTTAATCCCCACTTTATACACATCCAAGCTCATTAGTGTATGATAACGATTAATTGTTTTTAAAACATTTTAAATAAAAATAAACAAATACACTCGTGGAAAAAACATGTCATAAATCAATACAGTAGTCAGTGACCAGAAATTTAATTTCACGTGTATTGTCAGATTAACTCTTCAATCCATTTAAATCCCAGAGGTCATGTATTGACATATGTGTATTAATTCGAGATAAATAATGAATTTTGAATGATTTTGTTAACCTTGGGACCGTAAATTTAATTCGAGTCAACCGAAATTTCGACTCATCCAATTCGACTCATCAGGAGTCGAAATACATATATTTATATGAAACAAAGTTCGTGACCACGAGTAAACTTCAACTCATCCGAAATTTCGTGTCAACCGAGTTCGAGACAACGAGAGTTAACTGTAATTAATATTTTAAAGACATTTTTTTTTCTATACAGATTTGATATAAAAGAATGGTTACTGTACCAGAATATATCTTGACTAATAACTTTTATATGGGAAAGATATTCAAAGGCCAAACTTGTGACAACTGTTTGATATATTAAACTGAGAAATAACTCATATTGGCCATTTCTTAGATGTTTTATTACCTGGTGTGAAATACAAATGCTTTCTATGGAAAATCTGTCTTTTTAGTAGCTTAAATTTGTGTTATGCATAGATGCATGGTTAGGATATACTCAAATGTAAAATAATTCCTCATCTAAAGAAAATTTAAATGGTTTTTATAGATGGACATTTTAGAAGATGAATAACTAAAACATTTTGATCTGGTGGGGGGGAATATTGTATTATTAATGTAATTGTTGAATGATAGAATGGTGGTGCTACATTTATTTTTAATGCAGAACATACATCCTCTAACACAACCTTAATATATAACTGGTAAAGTGAACTCTGCAGGTATGACATGCACTCCAGTCAAAAAATATTCTAAACCTTTATGAACAACTCCATTCAGAAAAACAGTCTAGATGTTATCAGTATTGTTGATATGTATGTTCCATTTTGTACACTTGTTTTACAAATAAAAGAAAGCACTAATTGATTTATTGTGTGTATTTTCAATGTTCTGTTGACCTGATCAATGCATGAACTAAGGTTTCCAACAAAAACTGCATCTTCATTCTATTGGAAGTCCCTTAAACTTTTATCAATTTCAAGTAACAATTACAAGTACCCGTACATAATTAAATTTTCTTCTTTGTATGTAATTGTGTAATAAGTAGTGTCAGATTATTAACCTGATGACAGAAGAACACTCAATATACTGTCAGTACTAACCAGTAGGGTTCCTGGCATACCTTTTTTCCACTTGCATAGCAGTGATTAATTTATTTGACACATGTTCATCAGTTCAATGTTAAACCTAAGACCTTGTTTGGTTGGTTATTCGACACCATAGTATCATCTGTTAGAAACATAAGAAAGAACTTTCCTTGCCATACAACTGCCTAGGTGGTCTTGTGGTAGTGTGCTCACCTCTAGTGCGGGAGGTGATGGGTTAGAACACTAGCCGGGTCAAACCAAAGACTTTCAAAGTTGGTATTTGCTGCTTCTCAACTAAGCACACAGCTTTAAGGAGTAAGAGCAAAGACTGGTTTGCTCGAAGTCAAAATAATGTGTCTGGGTAAGATGACATGTCTTCCTGCGGACTGCTACCTTGTGAACTAGCACGATAAAAATCCAACTCAGCATGTTGGTATAATACAAAGCAGGGTAAATATTCATATTACATTAACATGTTCTTGTCCTGAATATGCATATTAATTTGCCGCTGGACATTAAGCAGCCATCCATCAGCATCTTTTCATACAACCAGAACTTGTTTTGAAATACTGTGGTACTAACTATTTCTGTATATAGATGCCTTAAGATATGAAGATTCCGTCTGTCATATGTCAATTGTCCTTGACCTCATTTTCATGGTTCAGTGACTACTTGAAAAAAAAGTTAAGATTTTTTGTAATGTTAATTTCTCTCTTATGAGTAATAGGATAACTATCTTTGGTATGTGACTACCTTGCAAGGTCCTCATGCCCTCATTTCATGGATCAGTGAACAAGGTTAAGTTTTAGTGGTCAAGTCCATATTTCAGATACTATAAGCAATAGGTCTACTATATTTGGTGTATGTAATGATTGTAAGGTGTACATGTCAAACTTTTGGCAGGTGTCATCTGACCTTGACCTCATTTTCATGGTTCAGTGGTTAAAGTTTAGTTTTTGTGTTTTAGTCTGTTTTTCTAATACTGTATGCAATAGGTTAACTATATTTGGTGTATGGAAATATTTTATGATGTACATGTCAGTCTGGCAGGTTTTATTTGACCTTGACCTCATTTTCATACTTCATTGCTCAATGTTAAGTCTTTGTGTTTTGGTCTGTTTTTCTAATACTGTATGCAATAGGTCAACTATATTTGGTGTATGGAAATATTTTACGATGTACATGTCAGTCTGGCAGGTTTTATTTGACCTTGATCTCATTTTCATACTTCATTGCTCAATGTTAAGTTTTTGTGTTTTGGTCTGTTATTCTAATACTGTATGCAGTTGGTCAACTATATTTGGTGTATGGAAATATTTTACGATGTACATGTCAGTCTGGCAGGTTTTATTTGACCTTGACCTCATTTTCAAGGTTCATTGCTCAATGTTAAATATTTGTGTTTTGGTCTGTTTTTCTAATACTTTATGCAGTAGGTCACCTATATTTGGTGTATGGAAATATTTTACGATGTACATGTCAGTCTGGCAGGTTTTATTTGTCCTTGACCTCATTTTCACAGTTCATTGCTCAATGTTAAGTTTTTGTTTTTTGGTCTGTTTTTCTTACATTGTATGCAGTAGGTCAACTATATTTGGTGTATGGAAATATTTTACGATGTACATGTCAGTCTGGCAGGTTTTATTTGACCTTGACCTCATTTTCATGGTTCATTGCTTATGTTAAGTTTTTGTGTTTTGGTCTGTTTTTTATTAAACTTTAAGCAATAGGTCAACTTAATTTGGTGTATTGAATGATTGTGAGGTGTATATGTCTGTCTGGCAGGTATCATCTGACCTTCACCTTATTTTCATGGTTCATCAGTCAATGTTCAGTTTTCCTGGTTAACTTTGTTTCTTAGATACTATAAGCAATAGGTCAACTATATTTGATGCATGGAATAACTTTGTGGTTTACATGTCTGTCTGGCAGGGTTCATCTGACCTTGACTTCATTTTCATGGTTCATTGGTCAATATATAATTTCCATGGTTTGGTCTTTCCTTTATACTATAAGTAATAGGTCATCTATATTCTGTGTATTGAAAGATTGTATTAAAGGTGTACATGTATTTCCGGCTTGATTAATCTGACCTTGACCTCATTTTCTTGGATCATAAATGTTAATGTGATACTTGTAGTAAAACTTTACATGTAGGACTATCAACATAAAATCAATGGTCAGTATAGTAGGTGAGACATTTCAGCATGAGCACTCTTGTTATAAGTACAAATGAAATGTGTCCATATGAACTTGAATAGAATCCCAGTTACATACCAGTCCAGTACCCATGAATGAAGTCCCTTAACAAATCTACCATCTTTTAAATGGGATATTGAACCGAATTGAAAATTATGTAAAGACTCTTAATTTTTATACGACCGCAAAACATTTTTGAGGTCGTATGACGTTGGCGTCATCGTTGTCGTCGTCCGAAGACACATTGGTTTTTGCACAATAACTTTAGTTTAAGTGAATGGATCTCTATGAAATTTTACTCTACGGTTCAATACCACAAAAGGAAGGTTGGGATCGATTTTGGGGTTTATGGTACCAACAGTTAAGGAATTAGGGGCCAAAAATATGCATTTTTCTAGTTTCAAACAATAACTTGTGGAACGGTGTATGGATCTCTCTGAAATTATACCACAAGTTTCCATACCACAAAGGGATGGTAAGGATTTGCTTTGGGGGGTTATGGCTCAAACGGTTAGGAATTAGGGGCAAAAAAGGGGGAAAAACAAGGGTGTACTGGTTAATGGACAAATACTTTAGTATAAAACATAATTTAAAGCAGTGTAAGGGAGGTAATTCAAACACATCATTTGAATTACCTCCCTTACACTGCTTTTGAATTATGTTTAAAGAAATGCAAATTTATAAAGGAAGACCTGTAAAAATATCTGCAAATGTTGCATCTTTTTTTTTCACAAAAAAATCCATATGAAAGAGTTGACACCATATTTTAAATTCTATTATAAAATAGATTAAGTTAGCACTATGGTAAATTTAAATGGGTAATTATGGTTGCAAACTCCATTGGAAATTTGAATTGAGATTATGAAAGAATTTTTTGGGGGGAAAAAGAGGGGGGGGGGGGGAGGGGGTAAAAAGAAATTGTGGGGGGTCAATTTTTTTCTCATTTCAGATTTCAGAAATTAAAAAGAAAAATTCTTCAAATATTTATTTTTTTCGGAAAAAAAAAGTGTGTGTGTGTGTGTGGGGGGGGGGGGGGGGTAATACGCAACAGCATAGTGTATTGCACAAAAGCAAAAAAAAAAGGGGGGGGGGGGAATGTTTTAATTTTTTTTGTGGGGGGAGGGGGGGGGGGTCAATTCGCAACAGCAAAGTGTATTGCACAAAAGCAAAAATTGAATATAAATTCAAATCATTTAACCAATTCTAAGTTCTTTGACTTTAGTTATTCTGTGTCAGAAACCTTTTATGTGTCAAATATTTAATTACAATCCAAATTTAGACCTGTATCAAGCGCAGATATTGCTTCCATTTTTGCCCCAACTGTCCAAGGTTGGAGGGGGCCTTGGTGGCCGAGTGGTCTAAGTAGTTACTACTGTAATCACTAGCCAGTCAACACTTAGGTTGTGAGTTCAAACCCCGCTCGTGCGGGTGCACTTGACTCCAATCTTAATTGACTAGGATTGTCAGTTTTCCTATCGAAGGTCTGTGGTTTTCTCCGGGCACTTCGGCTTCCTCCACCAATAAAAACTGGCCACCACGAAATAGCCCAAAAGCGGTGCTTAAAAGTGGCATTAAAACACCAAAAATCAAAAAATCAAATCAGGTTTGGACCTCTGCGGTTGTATCCAGCTGCACTCGGCGAAGCAATTGATTAGTATATCCAAAGGGTATTCATTAAACTTTCAACTTCTGTTAAACATTCTGAAATGTATGGGGTGGATGATTGTCTGAGTAAATGGTCCAAATGTTATTTCTATTTTAACCATGAAGTTAATAAAATTACTCTATTTATACTCAAAACAGTATTTCTCTCTTTATAATAAATGCCGGTCCTGACCCTCTTAACAATTCTTCCAGAAACCATGAAGGGGGCTACTAGTAAGAGAAAGTAATTGAAATTTTGCAGTCTAATATAGGGAATAAAAAATCTGCCCCTCAATTATGATAAAATTGCATAAAGTAATGAGGGAAATAATTGGGTCCCCGTTCCAACTGTGAATCTAAATCTTGGCTTAATAGACTCATTGATGAAGGTTATAATTATTCTGTTATTATTCAATAGTTTGTTTCATATTAATTGGGATAAACATCAATTTTTTTTTTTTGGCTAATTTGTGAATCTATACTGAAATGTTTGTTTGTTTTCCTGCAATGTTTGTTTTGGGCATTGTACAAGATCACGTCTTTCTGTACTGTTTATGATGTTACTGCATTAAATCTTATATATACATATAAGCTGTATTGCTTCTGGTTTGAAATAAACTATTAAACCCCGTCACATTTTCATGTGATTGTCCCAAGTCCAGAAATTTGTCAGTAGTTGTTGTATGACGTACTTAAATGTTTTTTTTTCTTTTTTTGGAGGATGGGTTCAAATGGCAGATCTTTGACTAGCTGTTAAATTTATTCATAACTTTTATAAACTTTTGAAGATTTATAACTAGACATATCGTATAGACTCATGTCTATTATTGGAGACTGTCATGTATATGATGTCCTCTAGATGTCTTGGTTATTCTTGTCATTGAGGTGCCATCTCGCTCATATATACCACACATCTGCTTTTATCCATATCTAATT